TGAAGAGCATGCTTGGTCTTCCCTCCCTGCTCAGCAGCACCGCGCCGCGAGTGCCAGCCACACGCAGAGAAGCGCTGGCTTCTGCCCCAGGCCACATGGGACAGGCGGGGGCTGGGTGGGCGGGTGCAGATTTTGTTGGAGGGGAAGATCAGGTCAGTTTGGGACATACGGGAACGGAGACATGGATCAGGCAGTGGGAGACGTGGGAGCTGGAGTTTGGGAATGAGGACAGGGCCTGCGCCTGCAGTAGGTCCGTGGGAGCGGTCTCGTGGCAGCTGTCATTTCAGGCCTGGAGGGTGGCCAGCCTCACACGCGCTGAGTGTCGCTGGGGAACAGGAGAGAAGAGGCCTGCTTGGGCTGGCTGGGGAGGAGGGGACCGAGGAGGGGAGACTGGTGACGTTGCAGGGAGCCAGGAGCGTTGGGGTCTGGCAGCCCAGTGGGGACAGCTTGGGGAAGAGGAGGGAGCAGTCCTCGGTGTCCCACAGTGTCCTGTGGGGCAGGGGGCCACGCCGGAGCAGGGCTGGGCCCTGACTGGTGTGCTTAGAAACAGGCAGGCCTTTGGTGACCTTCACAGGAGGAGTTGCAGTGCGAGGTTGGAGGCCGGGGCTGCCGGGAGGGGTTCGTGAGGGCACCGGCGGAGGGCAGCTGGCACGGCGGGCGTGGGCTGCTCTTGGAGGAGGTGAGCTGTAGATGGGTAGGGCGGTGGGGTGCGCCTTCGCTGGAAAAGTGGGGCCAAGAAAAGGTACTTCTAGAAAGACGACGACTGTCCGCTTGTGTGCGTGCGGCCGGAAACGATGGGGCACGTTGATGGAGGTGAGAGCCGCGGAAACCGTCCTTGAGTGGGCGAGAGGAGACCGAGGCTCAGAGAGGTTGTGGGGTGCCCGAGATCACACCGCAAGGAAGTGACAGGCTCTTTGCCCTAAGCCACATGTGCTACCAAGTCCCGCCCCACCCCCGCCCGGCTGGAGGGGCCGTGATGCCAAGGTCGCCTCTCTCTTGCCAGCGCCTGCATCAGAGGCCCGCCACGAGACGATGACTTGGCGTGGCGGGGAGCGCGCCGGGGCCCAGGCGGGGTCTGCCGCCTCCTCTTCAGTGTGGAACGGTGCGGCAGGCCGCTCGCCAGCCCCCCAGTTTGGGGCAGGGCATGTCCAGCCTCGGCAGGCAAGACGTGGACACACAAGTGGGGCTTGATGGATGTTACAGATTTTGGGAGCCCATTCGGACGGGAGGAGGGGCGGCTGGAGCCCAAGGACTCCCTTGCAGAAAAGCGGAGGCCACTGGGGCAGTGGTGACAAGAATTGCTGAGCCGCACGGGCTGTTCCAGCGGTGAAGCGGCTTGGTTTCGGCTCGGGTTGTGGTCTTGAAGTTGTGGGATCGAGCCCCGCGTTGGGCTCTGTGCTCAGCGTGGCTCTGTTTGGGATTGTTCCCCCCCCCAACCCCGCTCCTGCGCTTGCTGGCGCGCGCTCCCTCTCCCATGGCTTGTATTTCCGAGAGATCGGCACGTCTGTAAAATAAGGCTGGGGTTTTAACCTTAATTACCGGATGTGAGCCTCACAACATCATTTTGAAGTGCGTTGTCTTTTTATTTCCAATTTATGGATGGGACGGGGGGTCTGAGGAGCCTGAGAAGCCCGAGATCACGGAGCTCCTCACCCTGTGCCCTGCGGCTGGAACTTGGCTCTGAGCCCTGGGCTGGCCTCACCAGTGCAGCCCTCCGAGGAGGAAGGAACGCAGATTAAGATCTCGGTTTCAGGTTACAAGGATACAGGAGTCCTTTCCCCAGTCTCCCGGTGGGCACCTGACGGCAGGGCTGTGAGGAGGACCCTTGCGGGGTGAGCTCCCTGGGGCAGTCTGCAGCCTGCGGGCCCTGGACAGTCTGTAATTTCGGGAGAGCGCCCAGGCTGCACCTGTTCCGACCCCCAGCCGCAATGAGCGAATGCCCCTGTCTAGACCTTTGCCCAGAGTGTATTATTAAACTAGCATCTACACAGAAAACGGAGTCTGTGTGGAATTAATTTGCATTTACCTTATCTGAGGGAGACGTTGGGTTTTTCCATGTCTGAGAGACATTTGCATCACCTGTTTCTCAACTTAAGAAATTTGGGTTGTTGGTCTTTTTCTTACTGTTTACAGGAAGTCCTAATATATTAAGGAATTTAGGCCTTTATGATGTGATTTATGAATTTTTTCACTGGTTTGTCAATTAGTGTTTTGACTGTCGGGGGGGACGGTGTTCGCCATGCTGATTTTTAAACCTGTAGGTGGGTTTAGCAGTCTCTACAGCTTCGAGGTGTCGTTTCACACTTAATAAGATCTTCCTTTTGCTGATATTATCTTAAAAGATTATTCCCCCCCCCCGCCACCTCATGGCTTGAAGAGGTTTTTCTATTTAAATATTTGATCTGTTTTGAGTTTATCATAGACTGAGGCATAAGAAGTGGCTGTTTTTCCCCAGTTATAACCTAATGTCCCTTTACAATTTAGTGAAAATCATTTCCCCCGCGCTGGTTTTATTTTATTATTAATTTAGTTAGAGTGGGGAGGGGCAGAAAGGGAGAGAGTCTCTGGCAGACGCCCTGCTGAGTGCAGAGTGGCAGGATCCCAAACTCCAGCCCTGAGAGCACGACCCAAGGGGCAATGCAGAGTGGGTCCCTCAGACCCCTGAGCCACCTGGATGCCCTTGCCCCACTGAGTTTGCAGGTCACCTCTCAGGTCTCCCAGATGCCTAAATGCTTGGGTTTCACCTGCTTCTGGGTGTGGTGAGCAGTTGGGCCCAGGGTTTGAATCCAGGCTCATCCCTGAGACAGACTGTCCTGCTGGGAGGGGTGGGGGGGAAGGCCTGGAATAGGGTCTTTGCTGAGCCAACACTCAGACTGAGCTGCCCTATTTTTTTTTTTTTTAATTTATTCGGCAGACAGATCACAAGTAGGCAGAGAGGGAGGCAGAGCTAGGGGGGAGGCAGGCTCTCTGGCAGGCTCTCTGCTGAGCAGAGAGCCCGATGACCATGACGATGCGACGCGATGCGGGGCTCAATCCCAGGACCCCGGGATCACGACCCGAGCTGAAGGCAGAGGCTTAACCCACTGAGCTACCCAGGCGCCCCTTAACGGTAATTTTTAAAAAAACATTTTCTTTCTTTGACACAGAGAGATTGCAAGTAGGCAGAGAGGCAGGCAGAGAGAAAGAGGGAAGCAGGCTCCATCCCAGGACCCTGAGATCGGGACCTGAGCCGAAGGCAGAGGCTTAACCCACTGAGCCCCGCAGTCGCCCGGTAAAAGATTGTGGTAAAATACACATCAGAGGGATCATCTCAGCCATGTTAAAGTGTGCAGTTCATTAGTGCACACTAAGCGAGTTTCGGCGATTGTCATTTCTGAGCCATTTCTAGTTTTTCCGTGACTTTAGTCTGTTTGGGGCGCACGGTGCTGCTTCCCTGACGGCAGCTTCGGAGGGCTCGTCCCCTCCTCCTTCCTCCGCCGCCTCATTCTCGCAGGTGGTCCTTGCTCACTTTCGAGTCAGCCTGTCTGGCTCTAAAACGTTCCCGACAGTATTTTTTATGAGCATCAGGTGGGATTTGCAGATTGCTGTAGGGTGCACCAGCAAGGCCGAGTCTTCTGTCTCAGAGAGTGTGGCAGGGCAGGGGGGCCTGGGACGGGATTCTAGCCACGTCCTTCCCAGGGACCCCGGGTGAGCTGGAGGGACCGGCGAGGTGCGCGGGCGCGTGTGTGCGGTGAGATGCGTGTGCCCGGTGAGGTGCATGCGGGCGCGTGACCTAGGCCCTAGCTCAGGCAGCGGTGGGACCGCGGGAGCCGACTTCGGGGCCTGCATAACAGAGAGCGCCGGGCGTGGAAGTGCAGCTTGGTGCATTTTCACAGAGCGCACGCCCATGTGGCCAGCAGTGCGGCGAGGAACAGAACCCGATCAGCCCGCCGGCCCCACGTAGCGCCTCCAGCGAACACGCACCACCCCAGGACAGGCTCCTGGCTGACCACCGAGGCTGACTTCAGAGATGGGAATGGCTGTGTTCGGGGGGGGGGGGGGGAGCTGAGGGGTGGACACGACTTGTCCCGGCCACCCTACCCATGGGCCCCAGCCGGCCTGCCGCAGCCCCCACGGGTGGCTCTGGGGCGGCATCCCCAGCCTAGCCCCTTTCTGGCCGGAGGCAGAGTCAGTCTCAGTGGGCCTCTGGGACCTTTGGGCTGTTTGCCCTGTTTGGTATCTTTTCATCCAATTAGGTGATAACCTCGGAGAGGTGACCTGGCCAGACCTTCCTGGCTGGGCCTGCGGATTCCCTGAGAGGCCCCAGGGGCGGGATGACATGTTTCCCCCTGGAGCTGGTCACCACGCAGGTCTGAGAGCCAGCATCCAGCACCTCCTTTGTACGGGTCCCGAGGAGCCTCCTCTCTCTCCCCAGCAGGGTGTAGTCCATGGCGCAGAGCCAGAGTCAATACCAAATCTGCCAAAGACAAGGCCGATAGGAGCAGGTACAGCTTCGCAAACAGGAGAGAGGAGGGGCGGCACAGCCCGAGGAGGTCGGGGTGTGGGGGGCGGGGCTGGGGACTGAGTTAGAGAAGGAGACAGGGCCTCTCCCTGGGACCTGCGGACTTTAGCATTTAGGCACGTGAATGGGTGACCTGGTGAGAGCAGGAGAGAGAGAGAGAGAGAGAGAGAGAGAGAGAGAGAGAGAGTGTGTGTGTGTGTGTGTGTGTGTCCTACAAGCTGCTGCCCTAGGGAAGGTCAGGGTTGGGCCCTAGTCCAGCCAGCCGTTGTGCCCGGGGAGGCCTGCTCCCCTCTTGTCCCTCACACCTGGGACTCCCTTCCCGAGCTGCTGTGATGGGTGGAAAGGCAGGAGGAGAGCAGGAAGTGACAGGTGGCGGGCAGCCCAGAGAAGGGGGAGCTGGGGGGGAGCCCAGAGAGGCACCTGTCCCGGGGGAGAGAGACCCTTAGCCAGACAGACCTGGAGCCCATGCTGTTTGAATTTGGCAGGTTCCCGAACTTTGGTGCCTGGGTCGCCCTACAGGATGAGCTTCCCTTCCTGGCGAGGAGGTTGTGAGGAGTGACAGGCCCGGGAGTTCTGATGCTCTTGTCGTCTAATGAGCGTGCGATTACAACGCGTGAGTCCGGAGAGCTGTTTCGGGGGTAGATGGAGAGCACTGAGGACGTATTCTAGGCCCCCCGGGGACCAAATTCTGCGTTTGGTTACAGGGACCCGCGCCCTTTTGGATACTTTGCCTCGGCCATTCCCTTCAGTTGAAGGCCTTTATTGCTGAGAAGGGACCTGGTTTCTCAGTGACCTGCTTGAAACCCCGGGCCCCTGTAGCCCAAGAGGTCAGAGTCTGTTCTGCGGTGCCGGGGGGGCCCGACGGCCAGACCTGAGTCCCTGCTCAGCCTCCAGGGCCCTGGGATCAGCAGGCGCGCCCGGGCTCGGTGGCCGCTGGCTGTGTCGCGAGCTCACTGCTTACATAAGCGGGGCTGGGAAGCTGACCTTGTTTCTGCTGGCAGCCGCAGCAGAGAGGGCCGTGGTGGAGTTGAGAAATATGTCTCCGTGTGCATGTTTTTCTGATTATTGACATTTGCGAGTTTACTTGAAGAGGAAAAAAAGGAGGAAAACAGCAGAGCTGTTTGGGTTTTTGGCACCCAGCCTGAGGTCCTGAACGGGGAGGGGCCCCATTTCCCAGAGCTGTGGGGCCGCGTCCCAGAGAGTGGGGTGGCCTGGGCCTGAAGGGCCTGCAGGTGTGGGGCTGGTTGCCGGGGGGTCACTGCTCTTGAGGACGGGGACGCAGGCAGGTTGTGGGAGCTCCCGTCCCTTGGAGCTTTCCAGGGAGAGGAGCAGTGTTGGTCCGAGGGCTCTGGGGTCTGGCTGTCAACTCTCTCCAAACCAAAGTCATCCACTATTAGGATGATAAACCTGTTGATGAATGACGTGTTTTCAGGCTGGTATTGTCCGAGGTCAGCAGACACAGACGTGCTTCCTGACCCGCGAGAGCTGATGAGTCCACACGGACAGATGCTGGGGGCAGGAGTGGGGGTCCAAAGGCTCACTTCACGGTCCGACAGGGGGTTGGCCAGTGGCTCTGTGAGGAGCCCAAGGTTGCCTGAGAATTGTGGTGAGATGGGGGCGGGGGGTGGGGTGGACTCGGGCCTCCTGTCCCTTCCCCGGGGGGCTGTCCCTAATCCTGGATGCATGGTTCCTGGTAAGTGGTGGGCCAGCCCTGATGCTGAGGACGGTGGCCTTCGGGGGGGTGTTGCTGGGAGGCTTGTCTTCCGGAGTGGACACCTCCGGCTTCAGTCCCCGGGGATGTGCTTTTGTCTCCGGTGGGCCCCTTGCCTTCACAGGAAGCCGGGGTGAGGGGTCTGCCGTCCTGCTTTGGACGCCAGCCTGGGGAGGAGTGGAAGAGGCTCCCGGTCCTCTGGTGCCGCCTGCTGTCCCCTGCCTCCATGGTGCTCAGTGCTGGGGCCTGGGGGACAGCAGGCTCGTTCCCAGGTGATGGGAGGGTGAATAGAAGGAAGGCGCAGTCTGGCTCCTGTTGGGGTTGGGCTGGGGGCCTTGGGCCTGTGCCCTTCCGTCCGCAGAGGCTAGTCTCACCCTTGAGGGCTCTCCGGCCACCTGTCCTCTGTGGGCTTTCGCTTTCTGGTGCCCTTTCCATTTGTTCCCCCCATCAGAGCTCCAGTCGCTGTGGCCCCAGTACTCAGACCCCCGACCCAGATCCCCCGTCCCCGGATCCCTCAGTGCGCTGGGGGCCGCTCCGGACGGCCGGTGGTACAGGCAGTGGTGAGTTCCCTGCAGGGCGTCGTGGGGTCTGAGGTGCCGCCGTGGACAAGGAGGATGAGGAGGCTTGGCGCACAGTGGAGGCGACTGTCTGTGCTGCCCCGGCGAGGGCTTCCGGCCTGGGCCGTGGTGGCACACAGACGCCCTCGCGTTCTCCGGAGGGCCGGGTGCAGGCTTGCAGCCCTGCCCCAGACTGCGGAGCTGTGGCTCGGCCCCGCGTGCTCTCGGGTCGGTGCTGGAGCGTGGGGGCCGCCCCCTCCCTGCCGCCCCCTCGCCCAGCGCCCAGCGTCTGAGTGAGGGCCAGGAGGTGCATCTGGAGGGATGGCGGGGCCCCAGGGGCCACACAGGGCCACTCCGCTCACTCATTCAGGGAGTCCTGCTTGGGGAGGGGCCTGCTTGCTGGGGGGAGCTGGCTGGGCTGACGGGGAGGAGCTGTGACCTCGAGCAGACAGGGGTCCGGCCGGCAGAGCTGAGGGCCTGGGCTGTGGAGCCCAGCAGAGGCGACAAGGGACAGAGCCTGGAGCCCGGGGATGGGCGAACCCTCTGTGACCCAGAGGGACTTGTCCTGAGGTGCCCACTCTCTCCCTCCCAGTCCCCTTGTGCTCTGCCTCATGTCCCTCCTCCTCCTGAGGCAGAGTAACTTGGAGAGGCCCAGGCTGTGCTGCTCCTTTGTTTTAAATGCACACGTACTGGTTCTGAGAACCACACGGCTTACAGATCTAAAATCTGCAAGAAGGTTGAAGGCAGAAAAAGAAGTCACTTCCCGTCCCACCCTCTGGAGAGGCGGGCAGGGCTGAGAGGGGCCAGCACTTCCTCCCTGCAGAGAGCTGGGTCGAGGCCCCGAGGCCCGGGTGTCACTGGCCCTGGCTCGGAGGGAGGTGGAGGTCCCGGTGGAGCAGGGTGAGCCGGCGGGAGGGACGGCCCTGCCCGCCCTGGCTTCAGTCCCTTATTGTCTTGCCGTCTTTCCTGGCTGAGTATTTGACCAGCCTGCGCAGAGTGTTTTCAGAAGCGTAGTTGACAAAGTGTTCTTCACAGGTTCTAGAAGAAACAGTTTGCACACTTTTTTTTTTTTTTTGAGGGGCCCTCTGTGCTCGCTGCGGGGCTTGAACCCGCAGATCGAGAGTTGCCTGCTCTACCTACTGAGCCGGCCCGGCGCCCCCAGAAGAAGCGCATTTGGAAGAAGGGCTGGGACAGGCAATAGTTGCCAATGGGTGGTTTATAATTAATCATTCCTTGTTAAAAAAAAAACGGTGACTCAGTTTTAAGGACTCAGAAAACCATTACTCAAGCGACTTGGCAGAAGGAGTGGCCATCAGCTTGCTCCCCAGCTCTGCTTTTGTGGAAGAGAAAAAAAAGCCTTTTTCTTTGCTCTTTCTCGAGCTGCCCCAGTGCTGTGGGCATTGTTAGAACAAGCAGGGAGGGGCCGGTTGGTCACCACACACGGAGGCAGCTTCTGGGCTGACCTGGGGGAGGGAAGTGGGCAGAGAAGCAAGTCTCCTGGAACTGGCAAGTGCAGAAGCAGGACAGAGCTCCCTCTGGCTCCAGGCTCCCCGCAGCTCCTGGTCTGACGAGCTCCCCCATCTAGGGCAGGGTCAGCGTTGGCCCCAGACCACTGTGTCATCTCTGACGCGCTCTCTTGGCTGTTTCCAGTGGGGAGGCCCTGTCCCTGTGGGTCCCTCTCCAGCACCCTGCATTAGACATGTATTAAGCACCTACTGAGTTCTTTGATGAATGTCTCATAGTCACGGCTGGGGATGGGAGCCGTGCCCTGTGAAAGTGTCAGTGGAAGGAGGAGCCGTGCGCGGACCTTCCTGCAGCCACCCGTGTCTGTCTGTCGTGTTTGTCGGTTCTGGTGCCTGGTGAAGTCGGATTTCTGCTCGTCAGCTGAAGGGGGATCGGGAAGGTCAGCCCCGACCCGCATGGTCCTCCGGCTGTTTCTGCATCTTGGTTCCTACAGCGGTGGTACCTTGCGCGTGAGCGTCACATCTGTGTTAACTCTCATCTGGTGGAAAATGGAGAAGCCAAAATGTGGACATGGTGATCAGAAGTGTTGGATGGTAAAAATAAAATCTTAAAAATAACGAACAGAAGACAGCGGGCCTGGTGCCCCATCAATAGGGCACGTGGCTTGATCTCAGGGCTGTGAGTTCAATTCCCACCTTGGATAGAGAGGTTACTTACAAAAAAATCTCCAGGGGCGCCTGGGTGGCTCAGTGGGTTAAGCCTCTGCCTTCGGCTCAGGTCATGATCTCAGGGTCCTGGGATTGAGCCCTGCATCGGGCTCTCTGCTCAGTGGGGAGCCTGCTTCCCCCTCCCCCCACCCCACCCCAACCCCGCCTGCCTTTCTGCCTACCTGTGATCTCTGTCAAGTGAGTAAGATCTTTAAAAAAAAATCTCCAAAAGAAGCAGCGTTGGGTGGGTCTTCTAAACATAGCTTCATCGGGCACAGATGGAAGTCGTTGTGGACTCTGGACCAGACGTGCCCATGAGGTGCCCACTGGCGTCCGCACGCTCGGCTGCGTGTCCAGTCATGAAGGAACAGGACACATGTGACACACATGCTGGGACCAGTGGCCCCACTCCGGAGAGTCCTGCGCAAATGACCAGGAGCAGGTGGGAGGGAGCCGATAGCCGCATTCTGATGCGGCAGACGCTGGAAGCTCCCAGCCCTCCCTGGGCGGGAGAACCACGGTGGCGGGTATCGCAGGCACAAGGGGGTGAGCTACGGCTGCTCTTGGATGAGTCCCAGACCCGTAATGAATGACGAAAGCTCGCTTCAGCAGACTGTGTGTGCATCTTTTATAGAAAGCTTCCAAATCAATCAAGGCCCAGAAAAAATTAGGGATCTGTGTGCAGCGAACCTATTTTTAACAGTAAAGACGGGTTGGAACACTGGAACACTGCCAAGGCAGGGTGCCTTCTGGGTGGTGGCTGTGCGAGCGCTGGGGCTCTCGTGGTGGGACGTGTGCTCCCATGGTGGGGGCCGTATTTTTCAGTGGCTTCAGAAACAGCATCTGACCGTTACCGAGGGTCCCACATGAAGGGTGTGCTGTGGCTCGGGCTTCTAGAGCCATCTGGGCAGGGAGGCATCCTCAGGGGACCCGGGCTTTCAGGGGCTGGGTTGTGCTGCTGTTGGGGAAGCCTGGTTCCCGAGTCCCCGTTCCGCCGTGGGGAATGCATCTCCTGTCTCGAGGGCAGGGTCTTTCTGCTGCCAGACGGTGTCCTCCTCCTTGGGGTCCTTCTGGAATATTTGTGGGATGTAGGTCAGAGAGGGAGGAGAAATCAAGGCCGCGGGGTGTAACGAACCAGCCCGAATGGCCCTCCCTGCACGGTGAGATTCGACTGTTTTTCCAGAGTCCAAAGCTCTGGCGAAGAAACCCGGTGAGGACCGGTGGCTACCCTGCCCCTGTCCCCATCCCCGAGTGGCCAGCTTCCGGGTAGAGGGTGCTGGGGAGGGACGTGTCAGGCTCCAAGTGGTGAAGTGAGGAGGACTCTTGAAGGCCGTGCCTTGTCCAGCGGTCGCTCTGGGGGTGCTCTCCAACTGGGGGTCTCACTGACCCTTAGTCCCTCTGTCTGCCACCTTGGATGTGGTGGAGCAGGAAGGACAGCCTGCCAAGTGTGACATGAGCTCCTCCTCCCCAGAGGAAGGCTTAGCAGGTCAGACCCGTTGATGCTGGCCCTTCAGGCCGGGAGCTGGGGGAAGGCGAGGGCGGTTCCTGCCGGGCTTTTCCTAAATCTTTGGTGGGATTTATTGCTGCTGCTGCTAACAGATGGTTGGAAGGGCCAAGTATGCTTTTATTATTTTTTTGATTAAAGATTTTATTTATTAATATGAGAGAGAGCGAGAGGGAGGACAATAGGGGAGAAGGTCAGAGGGAGAAGCAAACTCCCCATGGAGCTGGGAGCCCAATGTGGGACTCGATCCCGGGACTCCAGGATCATGACCTGAGCCGAAGCAGTCGCCCAGCCAACTGAGCCACCCAGGCACCCCCAAGTGTGCTTAATAAGAAAATGGCTGTATTTCCTGGCTTCCATTCCCCTAGCTGGGGGATGCATTTAGTTAATTGGTTGACTAATTTTATCTCAAATTCTGCGACTCTGTTTAACCTGTACTGAAGAAAGTTCACCTTTCTTTAATTTTCAGTATTCTTCTCTCGAGTCGCACATACATGATACTTTTCAGGGGGAGGGAGCACATTTGTTCTTTTTTACCTTCTGGTTTGCTCCCAAGGATGAAAGTAGCCTTGTCCGGCAGGTTTCATAGCAGGAGCGGGTCCCCGGACAGAGGGGCCGCCCCGCCGCTGCGCAGCCTCCTGACGCCTGCGCGTCTGACCGCGTGTGGAAGGGTCCCCTGCTGTCCTGAGAGTCCGGGTGCGGCCCTGCGCCTGCTGAGCAGCTGGGTGTGTGCGTTCGCTCAGTCGCTCGCCCGCCGGGTGCCCAGCGGCCCCTGTTGTGTGCCGAGCAGCGGGCTGGGCACGGACACGGAACAGATCAGAGCACAGGCTGTCGATTCCTGTGGCATTAGAGTCTTCGAGGGAAGACGGGGGCAGATGTGGTAACCCTGTGGCAGCGGGTGGGGGCCGGGCGAGGAGGGCGGCGCCGGTGGGGACCTGATCCAGCTGGGGGTGAGGGAAGGCCTGGGGTGGGCGGTATGGAGACCTAACAGAGAAGGTCATGGGGGCAGCGGCGGGACTCTGTACCCTCGAGGGGCACGGGGAGAGGTGAGGCCTGCGAGTGTTGCGGGGACGGGTGGTGGAAGGCCCTGTGCGTCAGGCCTCATGCTCGGAATTCATGCTGTGGCCAGTGGCAGGCCCCCGAGGGTTTTCTTTTTTCTTTTCTTAAAAATTCATTTATTTTTTTGCTTCACTTATACATTTAAAAAAGATTTTATTACTTATTTTTAAATTTTTTACTCACTTGGAAGACAGAGTGCAAGTGTGGGGTCGGGGAGAGGCAGAGGGAGAAGCAGATTCTTTGCTGAGCCGGAGACATGGGTCTCGATCCCAGGACCCTGGGACCATGACCTGAGCCTAAGACGCTTCACCTACGGAGCCCCCCAGGCACCCCGAGGGTTTTCCGATCAGAGGAGTCAGGTGGCTTCCCGAGGCCCCTGGGGGGCCGTGGCTGGGACCAGTGGCTGGGCTAGAGAGGCGTGTGGTTCTGAAGCCCCCGTGACTTTCCAGACCAGGAGCAAAGCCCTTCTTGGCCACTGTGGGCTTACTGAGCGTCCTCTCCCTCCACAGAGGTGGCGAGCGGTGCGATGACCAGCCTGCCTGGGGCCAGCGTGACCCTGACCTGCCCGGGCGGGGAGCCGGGAGACGACGCCACCGTTCACTGGCAGCTGGAGCATCCTGTGGCCGGCTCCCCGCGGGGCAGCTGGGCTGCTGTGGGAAGAAGGCTGCTTCTGAGGTCTGTGCAGCTCAGCGACTCTGGAAACTATTCCTGTTACCAGGACGGCCGCCTGGCCGGAACCGTGCATCTGCTGGTGGACGGTGAGTTGAGAGCTCAGAGTGCTAGGGGACGGGTCCCAGCTGTCCCTTTAAACGCCTGTGATTTCCTTGGCCTGACAAAATCAGGAAAGATCCACTGCCGCCCGCCAGCCCTGAGATGGATGAGGCTGCTCGGGGCTGGCGGGGGCATCTGGCCGGCAGGGACCCCACCCTCCTCCTGGCCCGAGTGCTTAGGGCCGAGGCCAGCGGTTCACAGCCTGAGGCCTGGGTTTGGGGGCTCCTCCTCCTTCACAGCGTCACCCCTGTGCCCAGTGTCCCTGGTGGTTCGTGTGGTTAATTTTATTACCTTACTGTTGTGGCAAAGATTGTACGAGTGTGTGTGTGTGTGTTGGGGGGCTCGGTGTGGTCTTGGGGCTGGCTGGGGGGCTGCAGGGCCGTGTTCCCCCTCATTCTGGCTGTGCTCTCCCTTCAGTGCCCCCCGAGGAGCCCGAGCTCACCTGCTTTCGGAAGAGTCCGCTCAGCAAGGTAGCCTGTGAGTGGGCTCCCCGGAACCCACCCTCCCCAACCACCAGGGCCACGTTACTGGTGAGGAAGTTGTGAGTATCTGGGCCAGGCTGTGTGTCCATCTTCCCCATCCTTCGGAGGCCCCTGGAGGGGTGCCGGCTCTCAGTGGGAGGCTGGGCAGGGGTTCCCAGACTTCACCACTTGGGGATGACGGAGGGGCTGGGGGACAGAAAGAGAACTTGCCGGCTGGGCGGTGCTGCTTCGTGACCACGTGACCCCGTAGCCGTGGGGGGAGCAGTGTCACTTCCCTTGTTCAGCAGATGGAGAGGCTGATGTCTAGCCATCCATGAACTCACTTTAAGGTCATCTTGCTTGTAAGTGGCTCTGCTAGGGTCAGAGCCCAGTCTGTCTGAGTTTATTCAAAATGCCAGGTTTGGGGTTGGCTCTGACCCGAGCTGGCAGCTCCTGAGAAGTGTGGGGTGTGAGCCTTTTGTCAGGCCCCTTCCCTAGGAGAGGCCTTGAGAGCCATGGTGGGGGGGGGCGCGGAGGGAGGTCGGGGTGTGGAGCGGGGGGCTCCGCGGGGCCCGGGAGGAGCTGGGAAGGCTGTGGGGGGAGATGCTGGCCACGTGTCCGGGTGCTGGTTATTGAGTGTAAGCTGGAGGTCGTCAGGGTCAGAGATCCGGGCAGTGACTCCAGGGCTTGGTTTCTGCTGGTGTCTGTGTGCCGAGTGTCGTCAGGGGCCGACCTTACTGCCCGTTCTCTGTGCACAACTGAGCCCACAGACCGCCTGCGAGTGGCACGGCAGCCCATAGGGGTAATCGGGACCTCCGGAACGCAGACTCGGGTCATGGGTGTCGTCGTTTGGGACCTAGAAGGTGTTTGTCCCCAGACAGGATGTCCTGCCCTGCCCAGACCTGCCACGGAAACACCGGGCAGGCTCATGGGTCCCCACAGCAGCTCCTGGACTGGGGAAGTGGGAGGAGAGCTGCCAGTCTGTGGGGGGAAGGTGCGCGCTGCTCCTGCTCCGGGTACGCTCGCCCCGCGGTGCTGGCTCTCCCGTTCTTCCCAGCGCGGGCCCTGGGCTGCGTACTCACCAGGACGGCTGGAGAGGCGCCCACCCTCAGTACCCCTGGTGACCCTCCCTCAGCGTTAGGTGGGATGGAGGCTCTGACTCTGCCTGGGAGTGGACAAGCAGGGGGAAGCTTGTTCTGGGCAGGGGTCGGCCCCTGAATCAGCAGGGACCTGTAGCCCCGGCGAGCGGCCGGGTGAGTGGCTGCCCGCCCCTCCTGCGCCCACACATGTCCTAAATGGCCGCGTCAGGCTTCCAGGCCCAGTGGGACAGTGTCTGACTCACCCTGAATGTCTGTAGCTGCCCAGAATTCTCTTCCGGGCTCATTGGCCTCCTTGGGAAGCCGGGGAGCAGGTGCCTGGCTGTTCCATGGGCTGTCCTCGTCCCCCGAGGCCAAGTGGTTTCTGTTAGAGACTCAGGGCTGGGGAGGGGGCCTCCCTGGGCTCCTTGCTGCCCCTCCCTGGGGACAGAGGCCGGAGGCTCCCTCGTCCAATGCCTTAGGGGCGGGGTATGCTCTAGCTCGGCGCTGGGACCTGCCTGCGCAGGCACTAACCTGATTGTCTCCCTCTCTGGTCAGCAAATCCTAACATGCCCCCGTGGGGTGGGTGTTACCGATATTCCCATTTCTGAATGAGAAAATAGAGGCTTGGTGAGGTTGGATAATCGACAGAAATCACGAGACCTGCTAAGTGCTGCTGAGCGTGGGGCATCTCAGCCTCGCGGCCCCGAACAAGGGCGGACGCCAGCAGCCAGCCCGTCCTCGTCCTGTGTCCACAGTCAGAGCCGCCCGCTGGGAGACTCCCAGGAGCCGTGCCCCTACACCCAGGGGCTCCGCAAGTTCTCCTGCCAGCTGGAGGTCCCGGAGGGGGACAGTTCCTTGTACGTGGTGTCCCTGTGCATCAGTAGCAGTGCTGGGACCAAGTCCAGCAGGCTCCTCACATTTGAGGGCTATGGAATCCGTGAGTAAGCTCTTGTGCGCCCCGGCCAGACGCCCCTGCCCCTCTGACGCCCCTCACAGACGGCTGGGGGGCGCAGGGGCTGGCGCTGTGGTGTGCTGGGCTGGTGCCCTGGGGGCTTCCTGTGCCCTGGCAGGTGACACCGGGGGGCTGGTCTGGGCACTGGGGTGTCTCCGGCCCGTTCCGGGGGGACGGTGGCCATGCTTGCCGCTGCATGGGAGCCTGCCCTCCTCGCCCGCAGTGCAGCCCGACCCGCCGGCCAACGTCACCGTCACGGCTGTGGACGGAAATCCCCGCTGGCTCCGTGTCACCTGGAGAGACCCCCCCTCCTGGAACTCCTATTTCTACAGGCTGCAGTTTGAGCTCCGGTACCGGGCTGAGCGCTCGAAGACCTTTACCACGTGGATGGTAAATCCTTTTACTTACGGAGAAGAGTGGCTGGGTACTCAGGGTTCCTGGGATGAGACACCCGTTCTCTGTGGTCATGTGACTCCCTGCTGTGCGGGCGTGGGTGAGGCCCGGGTCCTCGGGAGGCTGGGTTGTCTCATTCAGCGCACAGCAGTGAGGATGCTGTCCCGCGCCTTCACCGGCCTGAGAGGATGCGCGTGCCCGGGATAGGCAGCTGGGCCGTGGGCAGGGCGAGGGCATGGCTGGTGGGGTCCTGCGCAGAGGCTCTGAGCACCTCTGCAGCTGGTCCCTCCCTGCGTCTGACAGAGGATGCCGCTGGGGGGGAGGGGAGGGCTGTCTGGCTGGTGCCCCCTGGCCTCACCCACTGCTGCTGGGCCCCCTGCCCACAGGTCCAGGAGCCCCGGCACCAGTGCACCATCCATGATGCCTGGAAGGGCCTGCGGCACGTGGTGCAGCTCCGGGCTCGGGAGGAGTTTGGGCACGGCTCCTGGAGCGCTTGGAGCCCTGAGGCCAGCGGCACCCCTTGGACAGGTACCATGGTGGGCGTGGCGGGGAAGTGTCCGCTGTGTTACTGTCCCCCAACTGGTGCTGTCACGGCGAGCCTGCAGCCACCCGGGTTTGGGAGGGAGGCCGGCACCAGCTCCTGTGTGGGGCGCACACGCCGCTTGTGGTGCTGCTGGCAGCTGGGGCCTTCGGCTCTGACCACGCGGGTCCCCTTCCTGGCTGCAGAGGTGCGGGGGGGATGGGGGGCGGGGCACGCAGCACCCCAGCTTCATGGGGAAGCCGCGGAGAACATGTAGCTGTACTTAGTGTCCACGGTTACTAATCTCTCATTTTTAAAAAGGTGTTAAAGGTGATAAAACTGCCTTTGGGGAGTTACTGAAATAACTGTGCTTGATAGAAAACGTGAAACATTCCACAAATGTATGAAAAATGATGATTATCAGTATTTTTACCACCTGGAGAAACCCAGTGAGAACATTTCAGTGTGCTGCTTTCCTTTTCCAAGTATGTGTGTGGAGAACACCGTGAGTGCTCTCATGTTACCAGGTGTTTTTTGAAAATGTGTTTAGTAACTGTGATTAATGTGTTTTTTTAACTGCTGAAAAATTTTTTAAAGATTTTATTTATTTGACAGAGACAGAGATCACAAGTAGGCAGAGAGGCAGGCGGGGTGGGGCTGGGATGGGGGGGAAGCAGGCTCCCCGCTGAGCAGGAAGCCAATGTGGGGCTTGATCCCAGGACCCAGAGATCATGACCTGAGCCGAAGGGAGACACTTAACCAACTGAGCCAAGTCACCCTTAACTGCTGAAATTCTTATCAAGTTAGTACATTCTCACAGCCAAGAAGCTGGGAAGGTTTCTAATACCAGTGCCTCTTGTCCTAACCCTTCCCGTGTCCAGTCCTGCCTCCCAGAGGGAGCTGCTTGGCCTCTGTTTCCCGTTCTTCTCCTGGTGCCTACGGAGCAGCAGCTAACACAACTGTTACGCGTGTTTCCTGAGAAAACAATTTAAGGCATCTTTGGATTCCTTCCTATGAAAGCTTAGGATTGAGCAGACCCAGACCCAGTGCAGGAGTTTCCTGGATTATAGTGCCGGGGGGAGGGTCATCTGGTGTCTGGTTGAATGCTTCCAGAGATGGAGGGCTCACCCCCACTCCAGGAGCCCATTCCGTTGCTCCTGGTGTCCGCGTCCTAGAATGGTGGCAGCTTCAGCATCACATCTCTTTAGCCCGGCAACAGGGTTGAGCCAAAAGAGTTGTTCTTAAGTACCAGTTAATTAAAACAGAAAATACAGTACCCGTGCATTGATCACGTGTGGGTAAAACAGAAAGACAGGAATAGAAGTGACGGCCGGGCCCGTCCCTGCCCTGCCGGCTCTCCTACCCCGGCCCTGGGGAGAAGACTGGCACAGAGAGGCTGGCATTCCGCCCCCGAGAGGAGGCTGGCGCATGGTGGCTCTTCCTCTTCCTGCTTTGCCGCGTGACGCTCTTCTTTCCTGTCCTGGGGGAGCCAGAGAAGGCCTGGGTTAAGGAGCTTCTGAATTGGACGCACGTGAGGTTGCGGGCTCAGATCACAGCTGGTCCTTTTCCTGCCGCTGCCCGTGGAGAGCAGGAGGCAGGTTTCTGTCGGACCCTCTTCTCAAAAGCTCCTTTCCTGCGAAGGCCCGGACAGGAAGCGGGGAAGGCCTAACTGGTCTGTCTCCCACAGGGAGACCGTGTAAATGCATCAGAACGTCCTCAGGCTAGCTCGTGTTGACCTGTCCGTGACTTTCTGTGATTCGTGTACATTTTGAGCCAGAGCAGGCTCATCGTCCGAATGCCGAACCTTACTGTGGCCTTGGAAGCCTTGGCGTGGGGGCAAATGGCTGACAGCGTTGTGCGGAGGGAATGTCTCGGACTCAGGCTGAGGCTTGTTTATTTACCCCTCTGCTCAGACGGTCACAAACAGCTTTAAGGAATTCTGTTTGTGTTAGAAAGCTCTTTCTTTGTCTTTAAAAATGTTGGAATGTGGTAAAACACATGTAACTCAACTTTGACCACTGTAGCCGTTTCTGAATATCTGTTCAATGGCGTTAAGCACATTTGCGTGGTTAACATGCCGTCCCACCGTCTGCTCCCAGAGCTCTTCTTGCTGCAAAACCAAAACTGTCCCCATTAGATGCGAAGGGGACCGCCACCTGCTGTCTCTGAGGTTCGCTCCTCACGGAAGTGCCGATCAAGTGCTAATTGATGCTGAAATTAAGTTTGGTTCACGGTTTTCTGGAAAATTACATTTTGATACTTCTGGTTGAAATGTAGAAAATAGAGTAATAATTATTGATAAGATTGTAAGGAATCATGTTGAAGTATCTAATTGTGTCATTTCATCAAGGAGAGGTTTGTACTCGCACTCTTGAACCGGGAGAGCTGTCTTTCGGTGACAGGTCTGTTTCACGTAGTGTAATGTCCTTCGGGTTCATCGTGTTGTAGCAAGTGTCCAAGCTTCCTTCCTCTGAGGCTGAGGCCTATTCGGGGCACAGTGGCCCACGTGTGGCTTGCGCACTCACCTGTGGCGGACTCTGCCGTGAGCGCCGCTGGACAGCATCTGTCTGGGTCCCTGCTTGCGGATCTTTCGAGTAAATACCCAGAAGTGAAAAACTGCTGCCTCAGACAGTAGTTCTGTTCTTAATTTATTGAGGAACGACCGCACTGTTTTCCTCCGTGGCTGCACCATTTTACATTCTTACCGGCAATGTACAGGGTTCCAATCACGGCCTCCTCCACACTCGGCATTTTCTGTTCTTTGTGTTTGGTTGCTGGTAAGAGCACCCCCGGGCGTGAAGTGGGTGTGAGGCTGGTCTGCGTTTCCATCAGGGCTGTGATGTTCACCACGTTTCCGTGTGCTTCTGGCCCATTTGTGTGTCTTCCTTGGAGACATGTCTGCTCAGGAAGAAAGTTCTTTCTCACATGAGCCCCACCCTGTCCTCTGGGGTAGACGAGTCCCGAGACAAGTCCACTGGTCTGGTCTTCCGAAGTTCTCGGCGGCTCCCAAGGACCCGTGTCTTCTCAGGTGTCTCGTCCTTGGCTGCCATGCGGAGAGCCTGTGCTCCCTTCCTCTGCACCTGGTGTCCTTGGTGGCTGTCCCTCTTCAGATTACGGACATCGCCCCCACAGTGGGCGGCGGTAGAGCTGGGCCGCCTGGCCAGCACTGGATCTGGTCTTTGACTTTCCAGCTTGGGGTGGCTGTGCTGCTGTGCCTTGCTGCGGTGACTGCAGAGGCTTGGACAGGACACCTGGTGGCGTCTCCCATCAGTGACTGAAGCCTTCGGGACCCCCTGTCCTATGCACATGTGGTTTTGGGGGATCCTCAGAGCCCCCCAAGAGAGAAGCTGGCTGTCCCCCCTGCTGAGGGCAGTGGGGGGCCGGGGGCCGGTGCGAGAGAGCGGGGAGCTGTCTGGAGGCAGTTCCTTGGCTTTTGGGGCACCAGTGGGCGTCCCAGCTACCCGGGACCCAAATATGCAGGCCGTTCCTGCCTCCCAGCCTTGGCGTGGGAGTGGTGACCTCTGGGGGACAGGGAGGTTATGGGAGACACGCTGGACCCGGGAGTCAGGCTGTAGGGCCTCTCAGAGCCTGAGCCTTGCCCATGTGAGGTGGGGATGCTGAGACCTGTCTGGTTCCCTTCCAGGTCTGTTTTCAAAACAAGCTCTGGCTGGTTTCATTGAAGAAATTCTTTGCGTGATTTACTTGTCACCAGCTTGTTCTGGCGTGCCTCTCGTGACAGCAGACACGTCTGCATAGGTGATGGCCATCTCCCATGTGTGCCGCTCCTGGTGGGAGGGGCCCCGGCATGGGTGGATGTGTGTGTGGCTCTGGTCCCCGTTACCCCGGTCCAGGCAGGTGCTGAGGAGGACGGCCCGTCTCTCTCTGCCTGTCTGGTCATCTTCAGGGTCTGCTTGTGGCTGGGCACATGCTATCCCCTTTTCCTGAAACGCTAGAGCCTAGAGATAATGGACTGTAGTGACTTTTTGTTCCCTACCTCAAGGGCCACTGCCAAGATGGCTGGGACGGAGGCCCCTTGCGAAAGTTTTTGTGAGCGCAGAGAGAAGACACCCTCCAGGGATAGTGACGTGTCTGCTGCAGGGGTGTTTGCAGTTGCCACACGGTGCTGGTTGGTCCCTGGGGTGACAGGAGGAAGGCTGTGGGTGTCCCAGGATCACTGTCCTGGACACCGACCCCGAGCCACTCAGACTATGGAGGGGGCGTGGAGTGGGCAGAGTGGGGAGACTTCCCCGGTGGTTATGGATGGTGGGGGCCGCGCGTCCCTGACCCTCATGTTGGCAGGCTGCGGGGCCGAGAGGAGGAGCAAACGCTTCCCGAGGAGGTCTTTGGGTGGCAGACGGTGGAGGAGTGTCTCCATGGAGACAGGGATTATAGGCTGTCTGCGCACAGGTGGGAAGGGGGGTTTGGGCCAGGCTGGAGCCCAGGTGTGAGAGCCACAGGGTCCGGCAGGTGCACGCCCATGGTGGAAGGCCTCCTTGCAGGTGGGGTAGAGGGTGGAGAGGGGCAAGGGGGGCCACTCCGTCCAGTAAGGCCATCACCCCTGCCGGCACCTGCAGCAGTGACACAGGGAGACGGTGCCCCTGACGTCCGGCCAGAAGGACGGGTCACAGCTGGATGGCCGCCGCCCCTCTCGCCAGTGGGAGGGCTTCCCCGGACCTCTCCTCCCTCTATCGAGCCTGCGGCCCCGGAGCCCCTCTGCAGGGAGAGTTTCGGGCAGGGGCCCGGGAAGCCCGCGGGGGTAAGTGGGCTTGGTCTCGCTGCTTACCCGCGCTCAGCAGACAAGTGACACCGAGGGTCCTTGGGTGCCCTGAGCTCAGACCCTTGGCCCCCTTCTTGTCCTGCGAGGGAGAGTCTGCGCCTTCAAGAGCCCCGGCACGCGGTTCCGGAGAGACCGTGCCCGCTGCGCTCAGCGCCGCTCCTAACCCGCCTCACCAGCCGGGCCTCGCTGCTGCCCTCCCGCCGGCCGGGCTGCGCACGCGCACACGCACAGTGGCCTGGCCACGCGCACGCACAGCCGGCCTGGACGCACGCGCACGCACACGCACAGCCGGCCTGGACGCACGCGCACGCGCACACACACCCGGTCTAGACGCACACGCACGTGCGCGCACACCCGGCCCGGCCGCAGTTGCGGGTGCGCTGCTCTCTCCCACTGGCCGGGTCCGGGCCCTGGGGCTCCGGCGTGTTTGGGGACCGTGGCCAGTGGCCGCTTGATTCTGCTGAGGAAGGACGTACACAGTTAAGTGGAAACGGCTCTTGGCCGTTTCACAGAAAGGGGGCCGCTTGGGGCGCGTGCGTGTCCGCGGCCGCGGGAGGTTCCCCTGGGCCCGCAGAGCGGCCCCCCCACCCCCACCCCCGCAGACCTCCCGCTGCTGCTTGTGGTGTCCGCGGCGGGGCGGCGGCGGGAGGCGGGAGGCGGGAGGCAAGGCCGGCAGTGATTGACTTGCTGGTGGGTGGTTCGCAGGTGTGAAGCCGCGAGCTGGAGGGGGAGGCCCTGCCGGAAGCCCGCCCTCCCGGCCCCCTTCCTGCTCGGTCAGCCCCTCTCCCCGCCCCACCTCAGATCGCCTCCCTGCCACCACCCTCCACCTCCTTATTTCTTCGTCCCGCTTCCCGCTCTGGGCTCCTGCCCCCAAGCCCTGCCCTTAACTGGTCATAATACAGTTGACGAGCACAAAAAAATGTCTTCTATTCTCTGCTCCCCCGCCCCCACATTTCTTATCTGTATTGAGTGTAATCGACCTGTAACACCAAGTTATGTGAGTGTCAGGAGTTTGATACTATGTTGCCGAATGCTGACGCATTCGTCTGCTTAGCGTCCCTCACCGAGGTGCTGCAGGTGTCTTTCCGTTTGGTGAGGACGTGAAGGTCCCCTCTCCCGGCCGCCCCCAGAGGCGCAGTGGGGATCTGTCCGTTCCCGGCGGCACAGCCCCCTCCGTGCCCAGCGCTGAGGGTCAGTGCGCGCTCGGTGTTTACCGGGACTCTGTGCCCTTCAGCGCGGGTGTGTCGGAGGAAGCGGCTGGGCCGGAAATGAAGAAACGGCGTCTAGGAGAGGTTCAGTGTCTTAACCCAGATCACTTATCTGTCACGGGGGCCTCTCCCGCCTTTCATGCTGGATTTCTCTATCCTAAAACCCAAGCGCGTGAACTCAAACCAATCCTCAAGTTAATGGAAATGAGCTTCTTGTTTTAAAAACTCCTGTGGGGACAAAAAAACCCAAACCCTCCTGTGTGGTCTGTCGGTCTTGTCATTCATTCTGTTACGAATGTGAAAGTGTCTCCTGTAATCTCGGAGGTGCTCACACAAGGAGAACACACGGTGGCAACTACCATTAAGGTTCCTAATAGTCTTTCCTAAATGCTTTTCCATAATTGAAATTTACTAACTACATAGTTTTTTGGCAAGATGTGCTAAATTCTGTGCTCACAAAGATGAGTACGGTACAGTCTCTGAATTTGAGGAATGCTCAATCTAGAGATGGTTCTAAAAATAAAGGAGAAAAAAAGCCCAGAGGCGCCTGCGTGGCGCAGTTTGATAAGCGTGTGACTCTTGACCTCAGCTCAGGTCATGATCTTGGGGTCAGGAGATCTGTGAGCTCCGTGCTCCTCGGAGAGTCTGCTGGAGACTCACTCTCTCCCTCTGCCCCTCCCCCTGCTCATGCTCTCCCTCTCCTTTTCCAGTAAGTAAGTACATCTTAAAAAAAAATCATTCTTAGAGCCAGAAAGACTTGTCACTTTTTTTTTAAAGGTTTTATTTATTTATTTGACGGAGGGAGAGAGATCACAAGTAGGCAGAGAGGCAGGCAGAGAGAGAGAGGGGGAAGCAGGCTCCCTGCTGAGCAGAGAGCCCGATGTGGGGCTCGATCCCAGGATTCTGGGAACATGACCCAAGCCAAAGGCAGAGGCTTAACCCACTGAGCCACCCAGGCGCCCCCTTGTCACTTATTTCTTACAAAACTTTGGACAAGTTCTTTAGCTGCCCATGCCTCAGTTTCCCCGTCTGTAAAATGGGGAATATCGTGATACTGTTCCCGAATATTGTTGTGGAGACTAAAGAGATTGATCCATGGGAGGTGCGGAGATTGGCACACATCAGGTGCTCAGTAAATGCTGGAGATGGTTACAGTTGGTGCGCTTTTGTTGCCACCAGTCACTTCGAGGCACTCGGGGGCCATGGCTGTCCGTTCCTTTCCCTTCTTTGCCCAACGTGCCTGCTGAAGGGAGGCGTTAGGAAATAGGAAATACATTTGCCTAAATGCTGAGCCTCGGGGTCTTTGTAAAATGGAGATGGCAGGGCCCACCTCACAAGCACCACAGGAGCGTGACATGGAACCCAGCGCGCACAGATGAGCCGGGATGTGGCCGGTGGAGCTGCCCACAGAGGGGTGCTGATGATTTAGGGACACTTTCCCAGTGGCAGTCATCTGACGTCCCTCGGGCCCTGTTTCCTCGTCTGTAAAATGAAATGACGATTATTCCTAACAATGCAGACATGCTTTACCTTCCATGTCTGGGGACAAGATGGTCTGCATCGGGGGCTCCGTGGCCATCTAGGGGGTCTTTAACAAGTCTTGTCAGTAAGATTTAATTCTGATATGCATTAGAAAAATTGTACTTGTTCTGGGTTGAGATAAAATTTCCACGTTGTACCCGGAAATCTAAGCCATCAAAAGTTAAGCACCCTACTCGGGGTCACGTGCCACGCTGGGCGTCAGAGCCGCAGGAGAGAGTAGATGGGTCACCCTTTCTGACTGAAGCGTCTCTGTGGGTTTGGAGAGCTGTTAGGAGCCCCTGATGTCTGGGTCCCATCCCCCAGATTTGGAGGCCATAGGGCAAGGTTGGAGCCCCTTGAGGCCACAGATGATGCTGCATGTGGCTGAGTGTGGGAGGCCCTGGATCCAGTGGCCATCTGCGATCAGCTGTATTCCCTAAGTAGGGCTGCCCCAACTCCCGGTCTTCGCTGTTATTGGTGCCCGTACCCTCTGCTCCTCCTCCAGTCACCCCTGCTGTGGGTCTGCCCGTTCTCGGCTCGGGAGGAGCACCCGGGAATCAGACTGGATCCTTCCCAGTTACCCCAGGCTGGTTTGGGGCTGGCTTGCTGTGTGATCTTGGACACGTTGCTTTCCCTCTTTGGGATTCTGTTTCCTCTGTACAGTGCAGGCGTGAACATGCTCTGGTTTCCTCCCCTCCTGGGGACAGGCCTGTCCTGCTGGAAATTCTCCGCTGAGCAGAAGTAGGAGCACTTCTCCTCTGTCCCTTATTCCACTCCCACCTCAGGGAGGCTCCACATCTTTGTGTGAACCATTTCTGTGGTGGTTTTAATTTCTAGATGGAAACATGATGGACTGAAAAGAAAATACTTTAAAATCCAGAGCATTCCACCCATTGCCTGTCACAGCTCAGTTCCGAGTCCCTTGGGCCCACATTTGCCCGGCCTTGCATTCCTGCTCCTGCTTCCATGCTTGACCTCTTGATGCTTGCGGGGGGTGGGGGTCGGTTTCTGCGGAAATCCTGCTCCCAGGAGGGGGGCTTCATGTGTGTGCCCGATCCACGTCCCTTCTTGGGCCAAGCCTCCCAAATCCACCCAGGCACATGAGAACTTGTTCAGATGTTTTTTATTGCAAAAGATGAGTGGGAGAACGTTCAGATGTTAATAGTGCTTCTGTCTGGTGATGTGTCCTTGTGTTTTTTTCCTCCTGTGTGTGAATATGTGTTATGGGGTATGATATAATGCACAATAATAATGATATAAATACGTTTCTTTCTTTTTTTTTTTAGATTTTATTTATTTACTTGACAGACAGAGATCACAAGCAGGCAGAGAGGCAGGCAGAGAGAGAGGAGGAAGCAGGCTCCCCGCTGAGCAGAGAGCCTGATGTGGGGCTTGATCCCAGGACCCTGGGATCACGACCCAAGCGGAAGGCAGAGGCTTCAACCCACTGAGCCACCCAGGTGCCCCTATAAATATGTTTCTTTAGGGACTTTAGATCAGACCACATGAGCCTTTCCATGTCTTGCCTTTTTTTTTTTTTCCCAAAGATTTTATTTATTTATTTGACACAGAGAGATCACAAGTAGGCAGAGCAGAGGCAGAGAGAGAGGGCAGGAGGCTCCCTGCTGAGCAGAGAGCCCGATACGGGGCTTGATCCCAGGACCCTGAGATCACGACCCAAGCGGAAGGCAGAGGCTTCAGCCCACTGAGCCTCCCACGTGCCCCAGTCTTGCATTTTTTATACATTATATCCTCAACGTTTTTCTACTTCATTTATTTATTGATTTTAAAGATTTTATTTATTTATTTATTTGAGAGAGAGCGAGAGAGAGAATGTGAGCAGGAGGAGGTGGGAGGGGAAGAGGGAATCTTCAGCAGGTTCCACACTGAGTGCAGAGCCCGATGTGGGGCTCGATCTCATGACCCCGAGATCGTGACCTCAGCTGAAACAGAGTAGGACACTCAACCAAGTGAGCCCCCAGGTGCCCCTTTTCTGATTTATTTTTAGAGACCGTTGCCACATCTGGGTATATCCTCATTTATACAGCGAATCCCTTGGGGTTGACGATTTGGTCATTTCTAACATCAGGCTCTCTTAAGTAATGTGGCAATGAACTTTCTCTGCTCCTGGGGCCCATCTGATGGGGCTTCAGGGTCCATGGATCATTCATAACACATCTTCCTCCACAGAACCCAGGAGCCCTCCAGCTGAGAGCGAGGCGTCCTCCTCCACACAGGTGAGCTTGAGTCCTCGTGGGGTGTCAGGGCAGCAGAACCTGGGGAGCAGTTGTGGGCTGGCACCGGACAGGAGTCGGTTCAAATCCCAGCTCTGGCACTTAACTGGAAATGTGGCATGGGTGTTACTGTCGTCCTCAAGCCTCTGTAAAACGGGGTAGGGGCGTCCCAGATCTGCTGTGGCCCTCATGACATGTGCGGAGTGCTGGCCCAGCTCACAAAGTCCCTGGGTCTCATGGCTGCTGTCTCACCTCCGAACTGGCGGACGCTGCTGATGGCCTCGCTGGCGACTCAGATTCAGTCCCTCTAAGCCCTTCCTCTGTGGGCTCCTGGCGTCATAATTTCCTGGAAAGAGGATTACCTCTGAAGCTGCTTAGCAAATCCTCGGGTAATCTCGTTTCCAGCTGCGCGTCCTCCTGGGGTCCTCAGTCCCCGAAGGGCCAGCTGAGCTGTGAGGTTCAGCGCCTCCTGCAGCAAGGTGGCCCTGGGAGGGGGCGCAGGGCCTGGCGCTGTACCCGTACTGACCACCGGGCTGTCCGGGCCCTGGCAGAAGCTCCCGGGGAGGCCTGTGCAGTGTGGCCCAATGGTCCCAGCCAAGCCAGGGTGTGGGCACGGACTCCTGCAGAGGGTCTGCCAGCTGTGCTCTGCTCTGGGCTTGCACCTGGAGTCTTGTTCCAGCTGTTAACGGGGTTCAGGGCCAGGAGGGCTGTGCCTGGAAAAGAGGAACGGGACACCCACAGCGGTTCCGAAATCTGTCCAAGGATGCAGAGCTAGTGAGCATGGGTCCAGGATCCTAGTCTTTGGTTTTCCCAGGGGATGGTGGCACATACTCCCTGGGACAGTGCTGCGTTCGCCTGTCTGTTGGGTATCTCTTCTGGGGAAGGGGCTGCGCCCCCGGCTCTTGGTGGGGAGGCAGATGGGAAGAAGTCCCATCTTGGGCAGGCAACGTGTAGATACAACTAATGCAAATACTAGTGCAGATGCTGAGTGTGACTGGTCAGAACAGAGAGGTCCTGAGACAGAGGAAAGGTGGACTTGGAGGGGTGCCAGGGATGGGATCTGTGGAAACCAGCTGACGGGGAATCTGTCTTTCAGGCACCGACCACCAGCGAGGACAGTGGAAGTAATCTCTCTGAAAATTCTGCAAATGCAACCAGCCTCCCAGGTGAGGACTGGGTGCTTTTTCTTCTAAGGGGCACAAAACGCTTCTCTGCAGAAAGTCCTTTCTGACTTGGAAATGTTGCCGGAAGCCAGTGTGCAGAAGGAAGGGGGCAGTGGCAGAAATGTTCTATCTGTGCAAGTCTGACATCGTTTGCTGAACGATGGTGAGGGAACCATTAACAGAAGGGCACAGACCAGTGAAATGTGCCTCAGTTGGCCCAGAATACAAATGCCTGTGCCACAGACCATGTTATCGGAGTCTGGAATGGAATACATGTTGGGGGAAGCCTTTATTTCGGGTGCCCTTGACCCCAGAGATCTGCTTTGTTGCCTGCAAGACCAGGAAAGCTTACCAACATTTGCACCAAGAAGAGCCTGGGGTCTGCCATTCATGCGGGACTCCAGGGTCTGGGCTCCGGGGCCTCAGCCCTGAGGCAGCTCTGCCAGCTCTGGGCTTTCTGAGGCCATCCTTGACCTCTGCTCCCATGTAGGCTGCCTGGCGGAGGTTGCACCCTCCCCCCTTCTCTCTGGGACTCTGCTCTGTGGGGTCAGGCTCAGACAAAGAGGACGGTGTAATCGGAACAGCCTGGGAGACAGGCCAAAACAGAGGTGGAGATAAATCGAAGGGCAGCTGAGAGATAGCAGAGGGCGTGTCCAGTTGGGGGAATCGCAGAAGGTTCCCGGCCTTGAGTCATGGTGGGGGGAGTGGGGAGGCAGGGTGGGGCTCCGGGGCTCCAGTGGGGATGGGGTCCTTGGGGGACGGGCTTCTCCAGCCGGATCTGTAACAGGAAAGGCCATCTGTGGGCTGATGACTCCCAAACTCAGATCCCACATCTGATAACCGAGACTCAACTATCCAGCGGCCTGGGTAACCTGCCAGGGAGGGGTGTGATTCTACAAATTACAAGCTTAGGTCTGAAGCGGACCCTTGAAGCCGCCTCTCCTTGCCAGCCCGGACGTGTTCTCTGTCTTCCTCATCTTGGTGACTGGCAGCACGTTCATGGGGTTGCTCAAGCCGGGGTCCAGGCAGGCTTCCTCTTCCACCCCCGCCCGATTCCAGTCCCTTAGCAGGCCCCGTTGTACCCGGAGACACTTCTGGGAGTTGCCCTTCTCACCCCCTCCGCCGTGCTGCTGCCACTGCCTCTCCCCTCCCCCGAGGGACTTAGGAGCTGTCCGCTGGTCTCCCGGCTTTCTCTATTAATGCTCAACAGACTCTTGTGACCAGCGGCCAGGGAGACTCTGAAATCACACGTCCAAGCTCTGGTCTCTGGCTCAGGACCCCACCCTTAACCTCGCCTCCTCTACTCTCCCTGTCGCTCACTCTGCCCTCCTTGCTCTGCAGCACATGCCCTACCTCAGGGCCTTTGCACATAACTGCCTCCCGTGGCTAGCTGCTTCACAACACCCAGGTCTCTGCTCAGATGTCCCTTGTCAGGGGGCCTGTCCCAGTTACCCCTGTTCTTCCTCTGATTTTCATCATTGCCCTGTCACTACTAAGGTCATAGTACAGATTTGTCTTTCCCTTGATTAGAATGTAAGGTCCAGGGGGGCCTCTGGGGAGCTCTGTCAGTTGAGCACCCGACCCTTGGTCGCAGCTCAGGTCTTGATCTCAGGGTCGTGAGTTCAAGCCCCACGCTGGGTTCCACACTGCTTGAGGACCGAGTGGAGGGACAGATGAGACATGACACCCAGTGGAGAAAATGTCATCTGACCTGAGCTCCTGATGTTGTCCTCAGTGGGGCACCCAGAGCCTTCGGAGTCCTGCGCCCCCTGTGCTTCGTGGGGACAGGCTGAGCGGGGACAGGCCGAGCCCCACTAGAAAGGCCATGCTGACTGGGAGGGTGTCTGTGGCCACAGGAGCTCGGAGGCTCTGAGCTTGAGGTGCCCCTCCTCCTCCTACCAGCTCTGGTGGGTGGAATCCTGGGGTCCCATTCTGCCAGGGACCCGTCTTCCAGGGTCGGCTCAGGTGGGAGCGCTGGCCAGCGCCGTCCCCTCCTGCGGGGCTGCGGTTCCTCCGGGACTCCGGACCGTCCCGCTGAGCGGCATCCCTCTCCCTTCCTGCTCCTGTTTCTCCTAGTGCAAGACTCGCCTTCAGGGCCGCTGCCCACCTTCCTGGTGGCCGGAGGAAGCCTGGCCTTCGGGACGCTCCTGTGCGTCGGTGTCGTGCTGAGGTGAGTGGGGCTGGGGGGCTGGGGGAGGCCTGGGGGGCCGCCACCTCACCTGGCTGATTCGGGGTGTATCAGAGGAGGAACTGACGAGATTGGATGACACGTTAGATGAGGAAAAGGAAGGGGGCACGTCTAGGGTGACCCTCGGGTCTCCGGCCTCGGCAGTTGAGTAGACGGCCGTATTGTCACTCTCGCGGAGCCGCTGGCAGGGGACAGCCGAGCACAGCAGAGACTCGACTTGGGAGCACAGCATTTGCGGCGCCTGTGAGAAGCCCGGCCGGACACGTTTGGGAGGTGGCGGGGATCACTGCCCGCGTGTGGGCAGATGTGGACGAGGCTGTGATGGTCCCAGTGGCATTCGGAGGTTGAAAACCTGTGTGACGCGGAGGGACCGGGAAGCCTGTTTGCTGACGCGGAGGGGGCGGCGTCCGTCACACTTGGGAGACGCCCCTCAGGCTTGAGGCTGCTGTCATGTGACCTTGCCTGTCCTCCAAGAGCCACATACCGACGTGGTTGTGGGCCACGTGAGAAACACCACGGAAGTCTGTGAACAGGCAGGGCCGAGGGGCCTGGCCAGACCCCGTTGGAGATGTTCCATGTCCCAGAACAAGCAGAGCCGGAGGCCCCCTGCCCAGTGCTCTGTCCGGGCGCATCCTCCGGCGCCGGCGAACTGGCGCCATGCCACGTCGCTCCATGTCTCTTTGTCTCCAGTGGCTGGTCGTTTGGTCACTGTTCCCAGGCTTGCGGACACATCCGCCGGCCCTACTCCTCCCGTAGGGCAGGGCCTTGCGATGGCGCCCGAGCTGAAGACCCGGGGGCCGTCGGGCCGGGCGCGGAGGGTGGCTCTCCGTCAGGACACAGCCTCAGTCTGTCCCTCTTGCCTCGTGTGCGGCTTTCTGAGGTTCTTGCCGGCGACTGTGAGGGGAGGTTTTAGGGTGTCCGGGAGGAAGGGGTAGAGACATTTCCTCACTCGTGGGACCCCCCAGAGACTCTGAACCAGCTTTGGTGCCAAGGTGGTCTGGGTTGGAAGGTGAGTAAGGTGACATCTCAGACTGGGTTCGGCCGTGTCTGCTCTACTGTCCCAGGGAAGAGGGGCGTCGCCCAGAGCGTGTGCGGGAGATAAGACCCCACACGTGTGGAGGTTGGCCTGTGGGGGTGCTCGGAGCTCACCATCTCGTGCGGGCCAGAGACGGCCATGCCAGCGGGCTGCGTCCTTCTTCCTGCCTTCTGGGAGACCCGCCACAGACCCTCCAGAGTGCCCGACAGCGTGTCCACCTGGTGGAAGAGGAGACGGGAGCTGGGAGGGCTGAGGAGCCGACTGCTGGGGCTGAGAAAGCCGACCCCAGCCCGAAGCTCTTTGTACAGGGCCTCCTGGGTCAGTCAGTCAGGGGAACACGAGATGACTAACGAAGAGGTGAGGTGACTTGCCCAAGGACGCAAGCTTGTTGCCAGCAGAGCCAGGACTAGACCCTGAGTCCCGAGAGTCCCTGCCCACTAGGCTGGTCCACTGTTGGCTGAGAGGTGGGCGCTGTCGCGGAGTGCTGGAGCCCCGATGGCGGAGCGCGGGGCTGGGGACCGACTGGCCCACTCCTCAGACACGGTGTGCTCAGCCATGGGCGGTGCGGGACACGGGCTGGGGGCTCCATGGCCAGCGTCTGGGAGCGTGAACGGGCTGTGCCCTGTGTTGTCGCATCAGGGACTTGTCTGCTCGCCGGTGAGTTTCTGTTTTCTCTCGTGTTCGGCAGATGCACTGGGGACCGGCCAGTTATTTCAAGTATGAAAACTTCTCCCCTCCCCAAAGCTCACATGTCAAGAAAGGTGCATTAACTTGGGGAAACTGGGTATTTGGAAGAGTTGCGGTGCCACTGGGATGGCCCTGTTACAACTGGCGGAAGGCGACAGGCCGGCTGACCACAACCCGCCCGCCCGTGAGGCCGTGTTTTTCTGTGCAACGTGTTTATTTTGCATCTCAAAGCATAGCTTCTCCTAAATGTTTTCTCAGCATTATCAGTGACAATTAGAACACTTGCAGATGTGCCACTGAAAACAGGTGTGGCGCCTTTGGGAGCAGGGGTTCTAAGTCGTGGATGCTTAAATCCTTGTGACCCAACTGTGTGTCTTGGTCCAGTAGTCGAAGCCACTACTGAAAACATAGGGCGCTCTGGTGGCCGGCCACGGGAGTGGCTGTGTCCGCGGGTGCTCCCCGAGTCACTTCTCATGAGGGCTCAGTCTCTCTGTCACTTGTGTAAAAGGCGACGGTCGTCTTGTGGTTTATAAAACTTTGTTGCATTTGCAGCCCTTTTCTTTAAGTAAAACATCACGAGGCACAGATGGGTAAGGCTGACAGAAGACACCGGCTGAGGAGCTTGGGGCCCGGCCGCGGGTTCTGGACCCCCAGACCCCCCCCTCCCCCGGCCAGAACAGCACCCGTGCCAGACGCCCCAGCCGGGCTCTCCCGAAGGCGCATTGAGCTCAGTGATTTTTAGAAAGCGTCTCGTTCACTCGGAGCGTTTCAAGAGCAGAAAAGTTCCTCTTTCTCACTTACCATCCAGTCCCTTGCTTTGGAGAAAGAGGTCGGACACCGCTAGAGACTTTAAAAGAAATTGTGATCCGTGCTCACGTGCTACGTAGCGACAACTGGAAAGCAGAAAAGCTCGCATGTTCTCCGGAAACAGCCACTGTTGATTTCTAAAAACGTGAGTGTGACCAAAGTCCAGCACACACCCAGGAAGCTCAGGTCCCGAGTGTGCATCTCCTGAGCGTGCTGGAGGTGTGCACAGCCTTGCCCGTGTGCCCAGAGGAGACGAGTTCATGTGGAGGCGAGCTTGCTGCACAGCTCTCCTGGGGTTTCCATGTCCCTGTGAGGACACGGCTTCCACACCCGAGTCCTGCCTTTCACCTTTAGCATCAGCTAGAACAGAAACACATTTCCACCGTAAAAGCTGGCTTACCTCGATGCAGGACGCCACGTGGGCATGCCCGGCCCCTCACTCGGGCGTGCCCTGGCCGCTCTGGGCGGGGTGGGGGGCTTGCTGTCACAGACAACACGGTGTGGAATGGCCTCGTGTGTCAGGCTTTGCTTTCCTCCTGGTGCGTCCCCGGAAGCCGAGCTCCTGGGTTGGAGGGTCTGAGTGCTCTGGAAGCTCGCGTGTCCCGAGGGAGGGCAGTCCCCCCACCCAGGCCTGGCGGCCGCAGAGCCCCCACTACGGGGGTGCCGGTGCCCGAGCGGGGAGCCTCAGCCACACTCCGCACATTGTTTATTCCATCCAATCCCAGGCCGGATGCCAGGGGCCGACTTGGAGCCAACTATCAATGGTTTATCGTCACCGGGACAGGAATAGCCTGTTGATATAAAAAGAAGCCCAAGGAAAACCCCCGAACCTTGTTTTTGACCTTGGTTTCCCTCCTCCCTCCGAGCCCTTCCCGGAGCGGCTGATGTGAGGTGGGACTGAGGGAGGTGTGTGGCCCTGCTCTGGGGTTGGTGGGGGACTGTGCAGAGCAGGGGACGAGGTCCGGGGGCCTCGGGAAGGGGCCCTGGTGCAACTCTGGAGGCGGCTGTGTCCAGCTCATGCTCGGCTCTGCCGGGGGCTGCTGCTGGGTTCCTGAGCGCTGGCCGTGGGCCTGGTGCAGAGCTGATGAGGGAAGCTGTGATGGCAGAGATGTCTATCTCCTTCCTGTTCGGCGTCCCCTTTCCTGCCCGATGAGTCACTTGTGCCTGCGCCGTGCCCACGGCAGAGCCCGGGAGGACCTGCCCGAGGGGCAGGGCTGCTGAGGGAGCGGGGGCGGCCCTTGCCCACTGCGCGTTCCCTGCCCCCACCCGCCTTCGCCTGCCCCAGAGGCGAGGGGCCCGTTCTCCCTCCACATGGGAAGAGTTGTCTCTGCTTCTGTAAGTAAATGCATTTGGGACCATGGATGTGTACCAAGCTCTGGAACGGGACCAGTTAAGTCACTAGTGCTGTAAGGGACACTTGCGGTCACGTAGGCCGCGGTTTCCCCATTTGTCAGCGGGACCAGTGATGCCTGCTGTCCCCGGAGTGTCGCTGAGAGCCCCGGCTCTTCAGAGAGTCGCGTGCCTCTGCGAGGAAATGAGTGGTGTCCCTGTTCTGAGCCAAGAGCTGCTCTTTCTCACTTGGCTCGTCACGGGGGGGATCTAAGCACCTGTGTGGTTTGTCTTTGTCCCTGCGAAGGTTCAGGAAGACGTGGAGGCTGCGCGCGCTGAAGGCCGGCAAGGCGAGCGGGTGCCCGCCACACTCGCTGGGACAGCTGGTCCCCGAGAGGCCCAAGCCCACCCCGGGGCTGGTGCCCCTCATCTCCCCGCCAGTGTCCCCCAGCAGCCCTGGGTCCGACAGCGCCTCGAGGCACAGCCGACCAGATGCCAGGGGCCCTCAGAGTCCTTACGACGTCAGCAACAGAGACTACTTCTTCCCCGGGTAGCGGCCACGGGGCCCCCGCCTGGCGGGACTGATGAAGCCAGGCCGGCTCGTCTCAGGTGCCGGGGCCCTGCGGAAGGCGCGCCACTGCCCCAAACCGGGTTGCTGCCTCTGCCGCTTGTGCCTTTCCCCAGTGACTGAAGGGGCTGGAGTCCACTGGGAACCCCCAGAGAAGGCAGGTCACCGTTGTGCTGGACGCTTGGGTGGACGAGCTACAGGCCACCCGTGCGGCCAGCGTCAGGGGGGACAGATTTCCAGACCCCCCGGGCTCCTGCTGGCCTGTCCTGCAGCTCCGCATTCCAGCCCCCGCTCTCAAAGCCGCCTGCCTTCTCCGTCTGTCTTTCCAGGCGTGAGGCCCGCTTCCCTGCACAGGGGCTTGGGTAGTGTCTCGGCCTGGTGGTTTGAAGCGGAATTGAAACAGTTCCTCAGTGGCATTTTGCTAAGTGTGAAGGGCGAGCCTCGGCCCTCACCGAATCCAGGAGCTGGTGCTCGGGTTGAAGTCCCTCTTCGGCTCCCAGGACTCAGGAGGAGAGAAGCAGAGGAAGGAGGGGCTTGGAGACCGGCCTCCGCGTACTCCCCGGAGGTGGCCCTGCCCAGAGGCGGCATTGCCAGGGGGACCTGCCTCTGGAAGCCCCCTCCCCTGTCCTCCCCAGCTCCCCCAGGAGGAGGACCAGCAGCTGGGGTTGTGGGGGGACGGCGGTCGCCACGGCTGCACCCCAGCTTCCTCTGCTCTGTTTTCAGCTGAGCCCGAGAAGCAAGGGAAGATAAGGTTTATGTGAAAAGACAAAAAGAACCCGGCAAGAATGTATTTCAACTTTTTTTTTTTTTTTAAACTACTGTTTTATCTAGAGGGTGGGCAGAGCCAGGGCCAATGTATGAATAACTTGGGGGAAAAGCACAACCACCTTGTTTAGCACAAAACTGAGTCAGGTGCGAAGGAGGAGAAAAGACCATTTTCCTTTTAGAGCAGGAAGTCCCGTTTCTACATTGTGTTTGTGGGAACGTAGTGTGTGTCTCCCTTGACTTAGGAGAAAGCAGCCACTGTCCCCCAGGCAGCCCGGAGGAGGGGGTGTCCAGACTCCACCACCCCCATGGAGCCCTTCCAAAGTCCCCTGCCTCAGGGTCGTGGTCTTACTGAGTTCCGTGATGTGATTCAGCTTCGCGAGGATGGGAGCACTGACGGACCGCAGCCGCCGGCCGCCCTGGCACCCTCTCCTTGAACCCGGGCTCCGGCACCTGGGGCTGCGCGGGGTCACCCAGCCGGGGCCCTCGGGCAGCACAGGGTGCCCCAGGACGCAGCTGGGAGTACAGCCGGCCTCGTGACCGCCGCGGAGTGCGCCCAGACGGCTTTCCTAGCGGCCGCTTCGCTACAGCGGCTGCCCCAGCCCCAGACAGGTGGGGAGAAGGCACAGGGGCCGCTTTCCTCTGGGTTTGCCCAGTGCTGGTGCTGCGGCCCAGCGGCCGCTCCGGCCCCTCGGCTTTGGGCCTCCGGTTGACCAGGGTCAGGCAGGCTGTTTGTTGTCTTTCTCGAACGTTTCTTTGAGAACGGCAAAAATGCCGTCAAAGGGAAATACGCAGGAGGAGAATGTGCCTGAGAGAGGTCTTTACCTCCCGGGGAGGCTGGGTTTCGCTGGGCGCGGGCGGGCCGCGTGGAGCGGACGGAAGATGGGCCCGCAGGTAGTGCCTGGCCCCCGGCCGCTTTGATCTCCAGACCGTCACTGCTCTCCTTATGATTGTAATGAAGCTGCCTTTTTTTTTTTGTATTGGAGAGGGCCTCTCCCTCGAGTTCTATATAAGCTAGTGAAGATGAAGGAAGAGTGTTTTCTCTGGGCTGTGGGCTGGGCCCCGGGCACAGGTGCATCCTCTAAGCTTTGTGCCCTGAGTGGTCCTAGCCACGGCCACCGCCCCTGTGTCCTGCGGGGCACCTGCTGTGTGTTCTCCTCCCCGTGTTACCTCCGCCCCCAAACCCCCACCCCCGACCTGGAGCACAGCCTGACGTGGGAGGACAGCTCCTCTTGCTGGGTGGGACGAGCTGAAAATACGCTGGTCCAAGGTCTCAATCTGTGTGGTCAGTAATTCTTGTAGCATTAATGAAAATTCTTTGAAATGTCAAGGGGTGGCATTGAGTGGACCGACGAAGCCTTTGGTGACCCCGATAGCTCTCTACTTTGACGAGGTCTTTCCCTTGAGGCCTGTTTGCCAGGCTCAGCTCACAGACCCTCTGCCCGTTCCTGCTGTCCCGGGGGCAGGACACCGGGAGAAGGGAGGTGAGCAGAGCCGTGTGGGGCAGGCTGGGCCGGGTCACGGTCTGTGGGTTTCCTGCAGAACGGTGAGGGATGTCTTGCCGCCTCAGAGGTACTGAAGGTTGACCCACTTGGGGAGGAGTCTGTGCTCTGGTCTCACAGAGTTGGTGAGAAGCATTTGGAGAAGCAGGTGTGATGGCCCCTCAGAGGTCACACCGGCTTTCCCACATGGCAGGCGTCCGTGGGGGGCGTTGTTGGGATGCAGGCCAGCTGGTTGGGTGTCTGTGCCAGTGTCTTGCCTGCGTGTCCCCTGCGTCCCTCCAGCATCGCGCCCTCAGTGTGGCCTGACAGCAGAGCCGGGAGTTTCTAGGACAACCATACGGATGATGACGGACACCAGTTTCATGAGCCTGTGCTGCCGCGGAGTCTGCTGCGGGGAGCGGGCGGAACAGCACGTAGCGGGGCTGGGAACGGGCAGAGCCGTGTCGGATGCGGATCACACATCTGTCAAATGTAATACCTCAACTCTTTTTCTTTCTTTTTTTTTTTTTTTTTGAGAAAAATAATAGTTTTAATATTTGTTTTTATTTTTTCTCTAATTACCTGAAAGCAAATACCAAAGGTTGATATCTGTATATGGGGCAAAGGGTCAGTATAATGTTTTTCAATATTTTTCTTTTTATCAGCTATTTTCCATTCAAAGTGAAAATTGTAAATGTTTGAAATAAATAATTTCTAAAAAGGTGCCTGAGACGGAATTATGCTTTGGGCCCTTGGGCCGTTTGGAGGGAAGACTTGCCCAATAAGGAGGCAGGATTGGAGGAACAGGCTTGAAACGAAGTGGGACTGGGTGGGCCTCCTCCTGGGGATGGTTGAGTTACCTCTAGAAGGAGGTTCCAGAAACAATAGCAATTTCTCGAAAGACTTCAGTTATGAAAATGTTTCCCAAAATGAGTCCTGGGCTTTCTGGAAGGGTGTGGGTGCTCCTGCTGCGTTTAGCCTGGCAGCCCAGGGCCGGGCGTGTGGGGAAGGAAGAGGAGGGGCCTCTGCTCATCGGATGTTTATCGAACCGGGTGGGAGCGGCATCACAAAGGGACCCTGCCCTCTTGTTCGTCAGCCTCAGCCTGTCCCCTTTTGAAAGGGTCTTTGGCAGGAAAACCTGGGGTCACAGCCCTCCCCTGTCTTCAGACAGGAGAGCCATCGTGCGGCTGCCGGGTGGATGAGAGCCAGGCCGGGAGCCCAGAGACAGCGCATGTTGGCCTAGAAACCACGGGGCTGCGCCCGCCCACCCACCATCCCTGCGAGGCCGGTCCCCACGGTGCAGAAAGTGCCCCAGGAAACAGATGTCTCCCCTGGTGGCTGGGCCGTGTGAGCCGAGCAGGGCGCGGGCATGAGGACAGGAAAGGGAAGGAGGAACATGTCCTGCCCATTGGGCTGATGCGGTCATGAGGCTCTCTCTGCCAGAACCCAGGAGCCACGGGTGAGCGTCGCGGGGGTCGCCGGACAGGACCCAGTCACTGGCTGATGGTGGAGGGAAGTGCTCGGAGCAGGAGGAGACCAGGACTTTCCCCACGTCCAAGAGAAGGGCAGGCTACAGGCAGGAAGCCTACCTGAGCTGCTGCTGGAGGGGTCCTGGGGCTCAGGGTGGCCCCCGGCACCTTGGGAGCCCTGAGGGGCTGCTCACACGTAGTGAGGGCTGCCAACCTTGAGCCCTGTGCTGTCCTCAAATGCTGACCAGTCCCTCGTGTCTTGTGGACGTCCCTGCTTGTCACAGCGCGGATGGATCGACACCCTAGCCAGGTCCGAATCACACCAGTAGTCCTGGGTGGTAATCCGAAATGTGGGTAAAATTAAGTAAAATCCTGGCACATTCACACCCCAGATGTGTGTAATACTCATGTGAGCGTGTTCCAGCACAACCTCAGATCGCTCCACATGGCGGCCTGTGTTCACGGGGGACGTGCTGTGCACTGGAAGCGCCCGGAGGACTTCGAGAAGAATTCCTCAGGAGGACAGCGGCGCGGTGTTCTGGTTTTCAAGTTGAAGTGCTGTGCAGGAGGGATTTTGAAATGTTGGATGTTGTAAGCGTGATCCCCGGGAGTCTGTGCCCAGAGAAGAAGGGGGCAGTGGGGAGGCAGGCGGCACCCCACAGACCCCTGCTTGGCAGAGGGAGGGGGCACAGAGGGGACCGGCAGGGACTCCTGTTAGTAGGCCCAGTGTGGGTGCAGAAAGCTAAGTAATGCCCAGATGGCTCAGAGGAAGGTGGTGAGGGACCCCCGGATGACCACGGCCCTTTCTGGGGTGAGGTGGCTGCTGGGGGCGTCCCACGTGAGGGCGTGGCGTCCTTTGGTGGATCATCTCCGCAGATGGCGGAGCGGGTCTGGGGGTCAGGAGCAGCTCGGGCGCCGGCAGCAGACCTCTGGACCCCGGCCGTGCTGTCTCCCTGCCGCACAGGCCGCGCTGAGGGTCGCTGTGCCGGGGTCCGGACCTCGAGGCCGGAGGTGGGATTCCGTGGCAACATGTGGTGTTAATTGGGAAACAGAATCTGTGGCCAGCAAAGAGGGACACTACTGGCCCTGCTGTCACCTGGAAGTCCCTGGCCCCTTTTCGGTAGAAAGGTGCTAAAGTCAGCGGATAATGACAGCTGCCCTTGTGGGCCTCCACCCCGTGCTTCACAAACGGGGTTTGCTTTCTCAGCCGAATGGCGCTGCAGGGGAAGTGTTCTCGCCGCTCGCAGGTGAGGCGGCCGAGGTGAAGGCCATGGGCTGGGACCGAGGGGAGAGCCCGACGGAGGCCATGAACCAGGTCTGCCCAAGACCAGTCAGTGCTCTGTCGTGCTGTGGCTCAGCCTCCCCCCTCCCCGGCACTGGTGACCACCAGCATGGCCCTCTTTCCAGCCCTCGTGCGGGTGGGGTCCAGGCCCACTCACCCCAACGCCCCATGTGGTTGGTCACCCTGTCGTGCCAGCGGGGGCTGGAGGCCAAGCCTGTGGGAGTCGGGAGCCCACAAGGCACGTCCCTGCAGCAGGCAAACCCCAAGAGATGAGCTGTGGACGGCAGGGGTAGCTGCCAGGTCCTTACTGGTGGCGACCCTTGGTGGGAAGCTGAATCAAACCGCCACCTCCCCCATCGGTACCAGCTCTCGCTTCGAGCTCCGCGTGACGGTCTGGTTTTCTCCTGCTGCTTCCTTGGTGGACACTTGGGTGAACTCCCTTGAAATGCTCCCTGTGTGCTCATGGGGACCGGAGTAACCCACTCTCTCTGGAAGGTCGTGGTCACCATGCTGAAAGTGGCGCTTCTCTTTGGATGGTGAGACTTCTGAGGACAGTTTCCCGAACTGTGGTGCCGGCTGCTGGGGCACGGGAGGGACCAGAGCTTCCTTGGGCTGCTGGCCGTCTGCCAGAGTTCATGAGCAGAGGTCATGCTCCCTCTGGGAGCAGACAGCCAGTGTGTTGTGGGGGTTGGGGGACGGGTCTGGGGAGTGTGGCTGCATGGGCACAGCTTGGCTGGGCTACTGGTGGGAGTTTGGGGGCTGCCTCGTGCACACACTGGGTTGAACAATTTTGTGATATTCAAAAGCAAGGAAGTCACTAAAGACTAGATACCCAGCTCTGCAATGCACACGAAACACTTTTTCATGGGCATATATGTTTTTACAGTTAAAGAAAGCTTTTCGTTAAGCGCTTAAAGTCCCCTGCACAGCTCAGCCACACTGTGCTGTGAAGAGTGTTGGTTGAGAAGTAGAAGTAGGTGGGAACCAGAGGCTACACACAGCAGGATGGAGATAGCCAGTGCAAAGCAGCCAGAGTCTTAGGTGAGTCTCTCCAAAGTCTTGATGTTCTCCATTTAAAAAAATTCAAGGGGACACCTGGGTAGCTCAGTGGGTTATGCCTCTGCCTTCGGCTCAGGTCCTGATCTCAGGATCCTGGGATCGAGCCCCACATCGGGCTTTCGGCTCCGCAGGGAACCTGCTTCCCCCCCGCCCCCTGCCTGCCTCTCTGCCTACTTGTGATTTCTCTCTCTGTCAAATAAATAAATAAAATCTTAAAAAAAAAAAAAAAAAGAAAATGCAAGGACGTTGGGGAGAATGGTTCACTTGCAAACATGCCATTTAAAACAATCCAAAATGAATATAAACACATCTTCTTTTGTTCAAGATTTTATTTTTTATTTTTATTTTATTTTTTGGAAGATTTTTAATTTATTTGACAGAGAGAGACACAGCGAGAGAGGGAACACAAGCAGGGGGAGTGGGAGAGGGAGAAGCAGGCTCCCCGCTGAGCAGAGAGCCCAATGTGGGGTTCCATCCCAGGACCCCGGGATCATGACCCAAGCCGAAGGCAGGTGCTCAACCAATTGAGGCCCCCAAGGGCCCAAGATTTTATTTTTTAGAGTAATCTCCACACCCAATGTGGGGCTCGACCTCACAGCTCGGAGGTGGAGCTGCGTGTAGAGGGACAGAGGCCACAGGGGCCCCTGAGCAAGTCTGTTGGAACTGTCCTTAACGTAAACTGCGATTCTCACTCGTGGACAACCGCTGGTGGACACCTTGATGATTTAAGCCTCCACGCGCACATACTAACGCATCTTCTGGCTTAATCCACGCCAGCGGTCCTGTTTATGAACCCCAGTCAGAGTCATTTTGCTGAATCAGTAAAATGTCCTCGGGAGGCATCTGGGTCCACAGCAAGCGGAGGGCGTGGCCGGCCCCCCAGGGGTTCCCGTTCTGGGGCTCCTTGTGGGTTTGGGAAGTGACGATCCACGTGCTCCTGAGGGCGGCTCCTCCGCAGCTGATGGCGCGTGGGCTGTCAGGGCTTCCGTGCTGCCGCCTCCCCCACGCTGGGGAAGGGCGAGGCCCTCAGACCCAGCGTGGGCTTGCCCAGCCGTAGCCTCCAGGCCTCAAACCCGATTCCATGTCCCCGGCCCGGGTCCACCGGGCTCACGCGGGGAGAGAGAGCACGTTGGTCTCTGATGTCTGCGGCACTGGGCATCGTTTCTAGTTACTTTTTTCTCCCCGTGGTAGAAGACCGTAACAAAATCTTCCATTGAACCCTTTTTCTTTTTTATAAAGATTTTATTTATTTGTGAGAGAGACCAGGAGCAGGTGGGTGGGGAGCGGCGGGCAGAGGGAGAGAGAGAAGCAGGACCCGCACCCAGCAGGGCGCCCGACGGGGGCATGGCATGTGGCTGGGACCACATGGGTCACAACCTGAGCTGAAAGCAGATGCTTCCCGGACCGAGCCACCGGGTGTCCCCCCACTGAAGCGTTTCTAAGTGTACGGGTCAGTGGTGTGAAGCACACTGACGTGACCGTGTACACAACCTCCAGAACATTTCATCTTGCAAAACCGAAACTCCGAGCCATTAAAGCACTCCCCATGTCCCCGCTCTCCCCAGGCCCCGTGCCCACCACTCCATATCTGTGAATTTGACTGGGTTTCTCATAGAAGTGGAGTCTTACATACTGTCTTCTCAGGACTGGCTCACGTCACGCCACAGGACATCCTCAAGCTCCACCCTTGCTCTCGTGGGGTCAGACTTTCCTGGGAGGCGGATCCTCCATTCTGTGTGGCTGGCACTCCGGGTTTCTCCATCCATCTGTCTGCCTGTCCTGGGCACTTGGTTGATTTCCACTTCTTGGCTACTGTGTTTTTTTTCCAAATGTTATTTTTCTCTTGTTAACTAATGCCAAGCGTCTCGTTTAACAGCCTTTGTCCCACTGGTTTGATTGTGTTCTTCGAACGTGGGGGATTCTGCCGGCCTCCTGTGTGGACAGGAATGTGCAGGAGGCTGCGGTCTGCACCCCAGCACGCACTCCGCGACGGACCCAGGACAGGTATTGGGTTCTTACGAGTGTCCTGAACAAGGCCGCCCCTGGCTCAGCAGGTGAGGGGTTAAAGGCAGACACTGTTGCAGCAGCACAGGGGAGGCAGTGAGGTCTAGTCTCGTTGCTCACACCGTGACCTTCCACAGGTTTGGGATCTGACACGCGGCAGCGCCGAACCCTAGGACCTTACACACACGGGCACCACCTGGACTCTGAGAAACGTTATTCTGATTGCTGGGGGGGTGTGGGTGTCCAACATCTCTGACACAGAGATGGGCAAACTTGGCAGGCACTTGTACCACCTAGTGGCAATTTATGTGAATATTTAATGGAAATTAAAAATTTGATCCTGAAAGACTCAGTACCATAGCCTTCTAGAACCTTCTAGAACCTCAGATGCATGTATTTGCGTGTTTCTAAACAGTAGCTTCCACTGGTGGTGCTCGGTCATGGCAGAGTATCAAAATCACCTCGTAGAAGTTTAAAAAATGACAGATTTCAAGCTTCAGGACAGACTAAAGCATCAACTCCCAAGGGTGGGACGGGCGTTGGTATGAATAACAGAGGAACAAAAGCAGACCTTCAGAGCAGGGTGAGGCTGGCTCCCAGGGCGGCTCAAGAAGATGCCAAGGAACTGAGGGTGAAGCTTCCCAGGGCCACAGCCAACTGGGAGGAAGCCATGCAAGAAGGGCTGGTGACCTGAGAGAGGCAACTGCCATCAGGTCGGCCAGGGGGTCTGCGGTGTCCTCTGCCCTCTGTGTGCCATGGCTGCAGGTGAGGGACAGCCCGCACCGTTGCTCCCTCCCAGGAAGCATTTGCAAAGGGAGGGGATGCCCCTAAGGAAGCAAATCAAGCAAACACACCGGTTTTCTTGGAACAGTGCTCATTTAAAGTTACATCTCAGAGCCCGCCATCTCCAGGGGTACTGGCCGCGGCGACACATCCAGAAATGTTACACAATCTCTCCGACATCATTTACCAAAGCACCAAAGCGCGCCACAGGCAGGCACTGGCGCCCCGGGCCGTCTTCAGAGGTTTTCCGGAGTTGGAGGAGTGGGTTAGTTATGTGAACGGGTCAAAGCCCCTAACAAAATAACGGAATGGTTAAGGACGAAATGACCTCCAGGACGAGGATGCGATCCGCCACCCAGGGGCCCCGTGGCGCCCGCCGCACTGGCTGCCCCGGCCGCAAGGCGGCCTCCCCCGGGAAAGACGGCGGCCGCCGCGCATCCTCTCCCCGCCGCGCCGCCGCCGCCCGCAGTTCGCGCTCCGGCCGCCAGGTGGCAGTAGTGCACCGCCGCTCCCTGCGGGGTCGGGCCTGGGGCGACCAAGTGCGGCCCGTGTCGCTGACAGGTTTCGGGGACCAAAGATCAGACGCCGGCGTGGAGGGCGATCGCGGAGACCGGGCGCGGGTCACGGGCCGGGACAGAGCCGCCCTGCGTGGGGAAGCGTCACGGCCTCTCGCGCGGGGGCGAGACGGAGCCCACACGCGACGCCTTGTTTCCCCCCAGATCCATGGAAAAGTGAGGCGTTATCTGTGACTGAAAACGGACATTTGACCGCAGCAGAAATGCCAGCTTGTTTAAAGAAAGTCTCAAGTGCTCGGCTCTTCTGAATCGAGCGTTAACATTTACTCGCAATGGCCATTCAGAGAGTAATAGCCGTCACCAACCCCATGGGCACATTATGACTCTTGCCCCGCCTGTCCCAACCCCTGGTGCCCACCTCCCCATCCTGAGACAGACCCCAAAAATGAGTAACGATTCAGGAGAGAATAAAGGCTCTTCTTATAAATGCCTGAGAAAGTACTCTGGGTAACTTAAAAGGACACTCCTCTCCCCAAAAGACAGTAGGCATATCAGTATTTTCATTAAAAAAAAAAAAAGAACGATTTGAGAGAGAGTGAGAAAGAGACGAGTAGGGGGAGGGACAAGGGGAGAGAGAGAGGAACTCTGGCAGACTCGACGCTGAGCTCAGTCTCATGACCCTGAGATCAGCACCTGAGCTGGAATTAAGAGTCAGATGTAACCAACTGAGCCACTCAGGTGCACCTTATTTCCCTTTTTCTTTTCTTTTCTTTTTAAAAAAGATTTATGTATTTGACAGGAAGAGAGAGAGCACAAGTAGGGGGAACAGCAGAGGGAGAAGCCAGCTCCCTGCTGAGCAGGGAGCCCGATGCGGGACTCAGTCCCAGGACCTGGGTTCATGACCAGAGCTGAAAGTGGACGCTCAACAACTGAGCCGCCCAGGAGCCCCGATATTTTCCTTTATTATACACCGCTCCACTATTTTATTCCTTGTTTAAATATACACTCCACTGGCTGGAGTCCATCCTGGTGGAAACCACTACAGCAGCAAAGTAGATGGAAATGTCCCATAGGCCTGAGAAGAAGCAACAAAATAAAGTCGTCTCCTGAGCCGGGCAGAGCATTTGTTAAGAAGGGGTGTGCTGGAGAAGGAGCCCGGGAGGGGGGTCTGGGGAGCCATGTTCCAGGCAAGGGTTTGCTAAAGGGCAGTATTCTCTTCAGCAGGAATCGGAGAAGATTCTGGGAGACAGAGGTAACGGAGAAGAATGGAGACTATGGGAAAACACGTGTACCAGGGCAAAATGACAGAAAGCCCAAGCATTCAGAGCTCAGAGAGGAAAGGCGTCACAGGGGTTTGGATAAGTGGCCCTGGAGGCCCCATGAGGAAGCATCAGGGACGAGGGACACCTGCCTGGCCTGTTTTCAGAGCACAGGCACCTGCTGCTGGGGAGGCCTCTGCGGCTGCCGGTGACTCATGGCCTCAGGGAGAAAACGGCAGCTCAGCTCCTTCTAGACCTTTCTTCTTCCTCCAACCCCCTCACGGTGAGAAGGGACTAGACCACATTCAGACTCCACATCTCCACTTTCATCTCCACAAAGAACAAGACACAATGTCACGGGAAAACAGTGCAGAGAAAGCACACGACAGAAGCTTCATGAACATTTAACACATCAGGTCTGCCTTCAAGCCGCTGTCTCATTATATGTTCATCACGGCTGCTGGGCGTCCGCCGAAAACCATTGAGAGTGCACAGAGAAAGGCTGTAGAACTTTTTGGCATCAAGATTAGGATAACTGCTATACTTTGTGGGATAGGTTTAAGTAAAAAATCAGGTTTCACTTCTAGAATGCTGAACTAAAAATAAGTTTAATAAATGAATTATTTGTATATGGAAGATAATAAATATTTGTTGAATGGAATTGGAACTACAGGTGCTAAAAATGCTTTTTAAAAAAATCTTACAATAAGATGTCACACATGAACCAATGCACATTTAAAAAATTCTATCAGTATTTAAAAAAACAGTCTATTAATAAAATCATTGAGATTCAGTAAGAAAAGGTTCCCCTCCCATTTTTTAAATCAAAGATCACATGACCATCTGGCTACAACCTTAACAGAGAAGCAAGTGTCTACTAATGTGTAAATTTTAACAGCAGAATGGTGACTAAGAGCTGGAAGGACAGGCTTTCCTAAAATTGAACCAAATCAACCTTTCGTGTGTCTGTAACAGAGGCGACAACAGTGAATTCTTCAGGGATGTTGTGGTCCAGGCCTGGGGGCCACCAGCAAGGCCAGACCACGGACGCCGCTGCTCGGGGGACTGTGGCTGCTTCACTGGGCGGGGGCCCCTCCCGGAACGCCATTCTCATGGGTTCTTACTTATTTTTTTCACAGTAAGTAAACTGGCAACTAAAGTTCACGATAAACCACAAAGAGAACGCTACTATGACTATTAAGGGAATATGTGAAACAGAAACCGCCTCTTTAAGATGGTTTTGTGCGGTGAGAACGGGTCTGATCTGCACAGGACAGGCACTCAGCTCCAAGGGACAGGGATGTATGTACTAAAAATTTACTCCAAAAATACAAAGCAAATCTAACCGGGGGCACAAATTAAAACTCGTTCCCTAACCACAGGAATGCCGGAAGGTGAACCCCAAAGACATCCGAAGTCCCGAATGATTTTCCTGTAAGGAAACGGCTGCTGAGCTTCGCACATTTTTCAGATTTAAAAAAAAAATCAGAAATGAAATTATTTTATTCTATAATTCAGAATTATAATGATGCCGATGTTTAATTTCTGTTGCTGATTCTTAATCTGGGGGCATCTTCCTTCCTGTTTACGTATATAGTAAAGATGATGGAAAAGTCCCCAGAGATTGAGAAAATAAAACTTTCTTCGCAGGCTGACCACCCAAATACTCTCGTCGGGGCTGTGGATTTTCGTGGACTCCAGAGCTGAACCAGGACGCCTTCCCCGAGTCCTCCATATCCACGTGTTTTCCACTATTCGTCTTTGTCCCCAGGAAGGGGTCCGTGGTGCACGCTCTTCTGGTCCACGTGATCAAGTTTTATTGCCCCGCATAAAGCCAGCTGCATTTTTTTGTGGGTTTGCTTAGCGCCGTGTTCCAGGGAACACCTAGTGCATTTTTGGAAAACCTTAATATCCCTGGACTCTTGACTTACCTTTCCTGAAAGTACCCCCGCAAACAGAACACCTACTCCAGAGAGCAGAGGCAGCTGGTGAATTAGGATTTCTTATTGTAGAAAAGCAACAGGTCAGTAACCAAGTGTCGAGGAATGGCTGTCAGGCCAAAGATTTTTGCCTTCTAGGTGGAGACTCCCACTTCCCACCGATCCCTGTGGGGAAGTCCAGCCCTGTCCCCCGGTGCTGGTTGGGGCTGATGCCCTGCTCAGGAGGAGGGGCCTGGCCAGGGCTCTTGCTGGCTGGACCTTAGTGGCCCTTGCTGTGCACTGGGTAGAGCAAGGTCATGTGTTCTGCCCCCTTGAAGGGCAGCTTCTCGTTGGAGTAATAGTGCACCACCTCGGGGATGCTGTCGAAGACGGCGCTCGTCTGATCCAGTGTGTACTTGCTGTCTTTGGTCTGGGCCACTATGATGTGGACGCACCCTTGACTAGTCCTGAAACAGAACAGGATGGAGGACACAGGAGTGAGCGAGCAGGGGTCCCTGCCCCCGACAGCACTCCCAGCCAGAGTGAACGGCAGGCAAGTTCCTGCCTGCCCCAGAACTGCTCCAAACTCAGCTCTCCAGGGGCTCCCAGAGTCCCCGAGGCCCTTGGCTCAGTGTGGGTCATCCTTGGGGTGTTTGTCCCTAAAACACACAAGTCATCAGGTCCTGGACAAGAAAGAACAAAAAAAAAAAAACAAAAGAAAAAGCCCAATTTCCCATCTCCTGTCTCCTAGATCACCAACTAGCGCTTACGCCGTGAATGAGAACACTGGGGTGCGGTTTAAACTCCCCGCTCATCACGGGACAAGGACGTATGTAAGGTTTCCGCTTTCTTTCCTCCCCAAAGAATATATCAACAACAACAATAATACCCCTGGTTTCCTCCTCCCTCCTGCCCCATCCCCCAAGCCGTGAAGCCTGCTCCCGCTGTGGATAGCGACAGCCGGCCACGGGGGCCCGGGATCTCAGCAGCCCGGCTGTTCCGGGCGCCGTGCGTCCGGTGGCCGGCCCGGCCTTCCGAGCCACGCTGCTCAGACACCCCCAGCTTCTCCTCCCTCCAGTCTGATTGTTTCAGCTGCTGGGACCCGCTTCCTCAGGAAGGAAACGCTGCCTGGGCCTGACAATCACCCTCCGTCATGGCTCCCCGGAGCCCCAGCAGCGGAGCCACGAGAATTTCCATGATACAAGCCCCACCAGGCCCACTGGGCAAAACGAACGTTCTGGCAGAATCAGGAGGGGGAGGAACAGCAAGTCAGCGTCTCCTCCTTCCCCAGGAGAAGCTGGTGTCCGAGGTGTGGCGGCATTTTGACGTCAAGGGATCAGACTCACTAAAGTCCCGAACACTAGGGAACAAGAGAGTCACCGAGTTGTCCCCCTGGAAATTCTCCCTTCTGTCTGGGATTACGTCTGTGCTGGGCCTCGCGGAGGGCCTGGGCTAGGTCAGGTCACAGGTGGCACGCACTGAGTCACGCGGGAGGAGAGAGGCCATCCGAGTCACAGGAGACCGGGGACGTCTACCAGGACCGGCCCTGCATTCGGATCCGAGCCTCTCAAATCCTGTGGTCCGAGCGAAAGCACCCTACTTTCTGACAGTACGTACCCCGCGGGCCACCCTGAGATCAGCTCTTTTCGGACCCGTCCTCCACCCCCAGGGAGAGCCCACGGGCTCCGGTACTCACTTCAGGGCGATGGAGTATTTGCTGTTCCCCGACTCGCTATTTCGGACCAGATAAGCAGCTTCTTTGCAGGGCTGGAGTCGGCTCTCGGCCTCTGCGCGGGTGATGGCGCCGTGATACCAACTGTGGGGGGGTGATACCAACTGTGAGGGGGGCGCCCACGTCAAAACACAAACCCAGGTGGGGCCTCACACCGTGGACGGTTCTTTTTTTTTTTTTTTAAAGATTTTATTTATTTATTTGACAGACAGAGATCACAAGTAGGCAGAGAGGGAGGCAGAGAGAGAGAGGAGGAAGCAGGGTCCCTGCTGAGCAGAGAGCCCGATGCGGGGCTTGATCCCGGGACCCTGAGATCATGACCTGAGCCGAAGGCAGAGGCTTTCAACGCACTTCTCTCGGAAGGTCAGTGGCCTGATCCAGACCCTGTCTCACGCTCAGGAGAGACGGAGACAGACAGGGGTAATCTGGATCACCGAATCTGTCTGCAAGCGGCCTTAAGAGGACTAGGGTCCTTGAAAAGTTTGCAGTCAGTGCAGGAGGACGTGAAGTCGGGCTCGCGGGCGGCAGCGCGCTTTCGGTTCTGCACAAGCGCAACGGGCTTCGAACACAGGTTCTCATTCACAAGCCCCTCCCAGACGAGAATTCATGAACAAAGATAATCAGGTAAAATGGGTGAGCGGGCCCCCCCCCCCATCAAGAGGCTCCTGGTCACTGTTGTGAGAGGACACGGATGGGACTCACGGCTGCTTCCCCAGCGGCAGGCCCAGGGCCACCTTTTCGCCCTCGCCGTGGTCCGGCTTCAGGACCTTCTGGGTCCAGCTCTTCTGCCGCTGGTGCTGCTTCGCTGGGTCCTCCTTGACGGACGGCCGGTCCGAGCCCTCAAACTGAACTGGAAAGAAGGCTCGTCGGGCACAGAGCCCACGGGGCCAACTGTGCAGGCCTCAGACACCCCCTCCCCGCTGGCTTCACGACTGTTAGGTGCCTGCCTGACCCCGGACGGCGGGCGTCACCGCAAGGGTCCCCGACGGCCACCCTCCTGGGAGACGCTCCTCTGTGCCCAGTCGTGTTGGAATGGGCCCGTTTACCGTGACTTCTAAAAACCGGGAGTTTCAGTGTATTTAGAATAAACGATGCAAGACCGTGTCATTATATGAAACCAAATAAGCCGTTTCCACCAGGAAATGGTAAAAGAGAGAAGCACGCTTGGGGACAGAAACTCCTGGGCAGCCGGTGGCATCTGGGCTGGACAAACACAGATGTTCCAGAGCCGGCCTCAGAACGGACCCGGGGGTCTGCGGTCACGCACCTCACCCTGTCCGCCCAGTCCTGACATGGCCGGCACTGCCCCTCGCCAACCTGGCTTTACTGGTGGGGGAGAGACCCCTGACGTCTTTAATTCAAAGGAAGAGGAGGTTCTGGCTCAGCGACAAACTAGGTGCTGGACGCCCTTCCCATCTCCCGCCCCCGAGTCCCTCCGCGCATTAAAAGGGCGGACTCCTGGGGGAGGGTGACCGGCAGAACCGCCTGCTGGCCCCCCCCCAGGCCTCCCGGGCATCCCAGTCTGCCAGGTGCGGAGCCGCCGCGGACTCGCAGGGCCCTCCACAGGCGGGAGCGGACTTGGTCCCGTGGCCCGACCCGGCAGTCCGAGTGGCTGAGCACGGAGGCCGCGGCCGGACAGGGATTCTTCAGCGGCGCCGTGTCAGGGCCTCAGCCGGGGACCCCGCGCACAGGGGTCCCGGGAGCCCGGGCTGGGCCCTCACCTGACAGCGCCCACGCGATCTGCTCCTTCTTCCACTCCCACGGCTGCTCGTACTCCGCGGCCGGCCGCTCGTCCTCCGCGGGCAGCCGCGCCCTCCGCTCGGGGGCCCCGTCGGGGGGCTCGTAGGGCGTGTCGTAGAGCTGGGGGGCCTTCCCCACCAGCTCCTTGGAGCTCCGTCTCTTGGCCGCCGTCTCCGCCTTCATGCTGTTCTCGCCCGACTCGCAGGGACCGTCGAGCAGCTGAAGGGCCTTCACCAGGGGGTCCTTGGAGCCTCGGCGCCGGATTTCTGGAAGACACGCGCGGACAGAAGCTGGAGTGCAGCAGGCCCCGGACGCCCCTCCCGGACCCGCTGGGCCTCCGGCGGGCTGCACGGGCGCTGCAGGGAAGCTGCTTGTCCCGCAAGCCCGATGAGCGGGGAGTCCCTGAAGACCCATTCCACAGTCTGTGGAAAGCCACGAGGCCACGGGCACCTGCTCCCCGCCCCCCCCAGGCGGCGTGGTTTTCACCTGCCCCGTTTCTACACGTTGGTGGAAGGCTCAGACCCCAGGACGTCCTCTGCCGCCGCCAGCGCTCGCTCTGTTCCCAGCGCCGGCCGCACGCATGGAGGGAATCTACGTCTGCTGGACAGAGTTCGGGACTTCCAGGCATTTCCAGACAGAGGAAGCCAGACACGGTCATAGCTAACCCTGCTGGCCAGCGACGGCGGCACGGACGCCAGCAGCCAGCACCCCCAGCGGCACCGGCTGTGGTCCCCGACCCTCCGGCGAGGCTGTGCCGCTCCTTCCTAATTTACAGAAGGGAAGGCTGAGGCAGAGGGTGAAGGACGCTGTCCTCACCCAGACGTGGCAGGGACTGGACGCAGGGGCAGGGAGCCGGGCTCCCCATGGCTGCCCCTGGCCGGACTCCAAGTGGAAGAGAAGTGGGAGATGGTGTCCCCCGACACAGAAGGTCACTTCCAAGGTAGGAAGCTGTGTGAGTTAGAGTGCACTGGGGACCACGGAGGGCTTGTTCCCATAAGGGGGAATGAGAGGTGAGTTCAAAGGTCAGAGGCCAGGAGGGCCAGGGGTGGGGGCTGGAGCGTGGGCATGCTGGGCTCCAAGGCAGGGGCACACAGCCCACACCTGGGCTAACAGGTCCCATCGACCGCAGCCCTGCCTTCCCCAGAAGGCACCCAGCAGCTAGGCAGCCACAGCGGGAAGGAGCCGGCAGCCTGGGACTCAGCAGAGGCCTTGGCGGGGGGGGGCATCTGCCCTCACTGTGGCCCTTCTAGAGGCCCTCCGGGAAGCCCTCAAGCCCCCGGACACAGTCAAGAACCCTTGAGCACAAGCATCTCAGGGCACCACCCAAGCCCGCGAGCCCCCCACGGTCTCCACATGGCCTGGGACGCCGGCCATGCCCAGACCACCTCTCTCCTCCAATTTCTTCTCTTCACACCAGCCCGTCCCACTCCCTCAAAGTCCACTTCCTGACACCAGGCAGGTGGGACTGCGGACGTACTCCGTTCACGCTGTCCCGCCCTGTGTCCCGGGGACGCCCGTCGAAGTCTCGTCCTGGGCTCCTCGGCTCTCCGGCCACCCCCCTTCCATGGCCACACGTGCCCACGGCTCTGGGCCTGCCCTCCTCTGGGCGCACACACTGATCACTGCTGTGTCTGCCCCTCCAGCACGGTGGGACTGTCACGTCTTACCTGGGGAGGACACGCCGTCGCGCTAAGAGGAGGGAGGGGAGGAGGCCCCCAGCAGTGGGGATGCGGGCTCAGAGAGACGAAGGTCGCAGGGGCACCACGGAGCCACTCACAAATCAGTGAAGGGTTAGGGTGTGAAATAAAAGTGACCAAGAGAAAAGGAGAGGGTCAAAGGCAGAGTGGCGCTGTTTGAGCTCTGGGCGGGCGGATGGGGGCCAGGGGAGCTGGGGGGGGGGCAGAAGGGCGCAGTGCCAGTAACGTACAACGGTACGGTGACACTCGGGTGCAGAGCAGCTGACTTCTGTCACCAGGAGGGGCAGCGGGCAAAACGCTCAAGGGAAAGTGAGAACATCAGGACACTAAATTCAAAAGAGTGAGACTGCACGGGGCCCCGACCGTAGCCCGCTCCAGCCAGGCACCCTGCGTCAGTGGTGTCGGAGGCACCCACTGCCCGGTCCCGGCGCCGAGCTAGCCGGTCTGGGGCACGGGATTCTTACGGGACGTGAAGCCTGAGAAGCCCTTGCACACTCCCTAGTCCCCAGGGCCTCCATCTGAGCTCCTCCTGCCCCCAAGCCTTCCCGTCATTGCTAGCTCCCCAGCAAGGAGAAGGGTTCTCCCTGGGTCTGAACCCCCACATCGAAGGGTGGGAGGTCCCACCCTGGGGCCAGGCTGGTGCCTGGGGCCATGTGAGGCCCTGTGGGGCTGCCTGTCCGTCCACACCCCTCCTTTACATTATTCTAGATGGAGTTATAGGGAATGAGAAGCACAACCTGCTCCTGGTTCGGGAAGACAGGGCTGGAACTTAACAAGAGCGTCTCTGTAGAGCTAAGAGAAAGGAAAGACAGGACACAGACTTCAGAGGGTGAACTTAGAAACCGTAAGTTTCTGATCAAAACCTCAGTGTGCCCTCAGTTTGGACGGCCTGGGCAGGCAGGGGTCCGTTTTCCCATGGTCCTGCCCTCAACTCTGTCCCGGCTGACTGAAACAGAGGGTCGATTCCAACTTTAAGACACAGAAGTCCTGCTCACAAGGAAAGTTCCAGGTTTGTGTTGTAATAAGTACGATAATGAGGGTCCAGAGTCCTTACTACGTGTGTTTGCGCGCGGCAAGGGCCTGTGCCCCCGGGACTTGGTGGGGGAGGCCCAGAGGGCGGGCGGGCAGCCGGCCTCGGGTAGCCCCTCTCAACAAGGTGTCGTCGGGGGAAACCAGGGCTTGCACCGCCCTCCACCCCCCCCAGCCCCCCCTGTCCTCCACCTGGGACGCTGTGGACACAGGAACAATCGGGAGCCGGGAGCCGGCCTTGCTGGGGGAGAGGCGCCCGGGACGTGCAGGGCTGGCCCCGGGAGGAAACGGCCGAGGAGGAGGAAGCAGAGAGGAAGCCACGCCCCGGCCCTGCCGACAGAGGCCATTTACTGCGGGGACAACAGAGTGCAGACGAACGCCACCGCCCGCCGCAGGAGCCCGCGCAGGACGGAGCCGGTCCCTCACTAAGCCGGCTGTCGTCGGCAGACGCGGGTCCTCCGCGCTCGTCCGGAATTCTCTTGGAAGACACAAGGCTCCCTGCGGCGTCCGAGCAATGGCTAAATGCATGGGACACGCGTGTACTAGGCGTGTTACACCAGTGTCAGGCATGGGACACGCGTGATCCCATTTTCACAGGTGACTGAACCGGGGGCGGGCATGGTGGGGGCCGTTGGAAGCCCTGACGCCCGTGGTTCACGCCGAGCGTCGGTCACCATGCTGGCACGACCATCAACCCGCTTGGAGGCTGTTCCTCCCTCAGAATCAGAAAAGGGATGTTCCTGGTCACATCTTTTATTCCTACTATTGCTTTTGATTTAAAATGACGAATGAGGGGCACCTGGGTGGCTCAGTGGGTTAAGCCGCTGCCTTCAGCTCAGGTCATGATCTCAGGGTCCTGGGATCGAGCCCCGCATCAGGCTCTCTGCTCAGAGGGGAGCCTGCTTCCTCCTCTCTCTCTGCCTGCCTCTCTGCCTGCTTGTGATCTCTCTCTGTCAAATAAATAAATAAAAATCTTAAAAAAATAAAAAATAAGATGACGAATGGGGCGCTTGGACGGCTAAGCGTCCAGCTCCTGGTTCTCGGCTCAGGTGATCTCAGGGTCGTGAGATCCAAGCTCGGGGGGAGTCTGCTTGAGATTCTCTCCCTCTGCTGCTTCCCCTGCTCTCTAAAAAATAAGTGAAACGACTTGTGTATTTTCTTATTGAATAAACCTAAATGCCCGAACAAAAGCAGACGTAACTCAGGAGCCCTGAAATCTAAGTTTTACCAGAAAGTAAAGACTAATTACATAAGTCAGAAATCTTCTGTATTTTTTTCCATAATGGTTTTTTTAAATGGGCATCCCACGGAGGTTCTCCTCTGGATCTGTTTGAGCAAGCCAACAAAACCCTCTGCGGGCAAAAATAAAACTGAAACCCCCCGAGACAGGATATGGACCAGTAAAAGCGGATGTGGAAGGACCCAGCATCTCTGCTGTCCACATGGACACGGCCGGGAGCGGTTCTGGACTTGGGCGCCCTCGCTGCAGGCTGGGCGCTTCTAACACCCCTGCACGGGGCCACGGGGCTCAGGCAGGGGGCCGGTGAGCCTGGCGCCGACTTACAGGGTGCCAGCCTTGGAAACGGGTCTCCTACCGAATAACGTGGTCTCGGAGCTGCCAAAGACCCTTCCCGTGGAGCTCCGGACGCTCCATTAGGTACACTTTCTGCTAATGATTCTGCTAAAATGTTCCTGCTAGTTTAGCAGAACAGAGAGGTTTACGCTAATACTGCCTGTATTCATAACCCTAACCTCAGGAAGAATTTATTTATAAACTTAGCAATTCCTAGCGTTCAAGGTTAAGAGTAAAGTTTCGGAGGGATTCCTCCAGTGATTGGGCCATCGGAGAGGAAGTAGTGCCTTTTCTGTTCCTTCCTCTGTTCTGATCCTGACTTCACGGCACTCACTGCACCTTCCAAGGCCCTATTTTCTGGTCTCTTGGTGTTAGGTCTGTTTGCCTCTTGGGTTGTAAGAGGCATGTCAGTCCTCATGCCGGTCCACGAGGACACGGGTCAGGTGGGTCTGGTTTCCCGGATGCCAGAGCCCAGTGCTGGGCCTGGCACCCGGTGAATGAACGCCCGAGGAGTGTCTGCTGGACGGTGGAAAGCAACATCGCCAGCGGCATTCAGGCAGCCGGGCCACCCCACCCTGCAGGGACCAGCGAGGCCGGACAGGGCCCGGGGTTCCCTAGAGCCTCACCATCTCCTGAAAAATGCAGAAAATAAAGAAAAATCCCTAATATTTTCAAGAAATAAGCATTTCTGAAGTGGGACATGAGCACCAAGGATACAAGAAGCAACTGGACAAAAATGTAGAAGGTTTAAAACAAAAACAAAAACAAAACAAAACCCCAGTAGCAAATCTTTTATTTCCAGCTTCCGATCAACTCACTTCCTGTTATTCTGTCCAGCTGTGGGCTACGGAGAGAATTAGTGGTGTACTCTCTGCACGGATCAAGAAGGTGCTTTTTGACAGAGGTTTTAAGAGACTTTAAAATTCATGGATTTTCTTAAGACAAAATAAGCTATCAATTTTTTAAAAGTTTAATAAATTTGAATTTAATCTCCAATTGAATTAATCTTATATTCCTAAACAAACGCATTCACGTAAACTGTAAACAGAGGCTCACACTTAATAAACCCTCAAATATCAAACACTATTATTATCATCGCGTTTATTTCATGTTGGACAATTCTGATTTTTCAATACAACCCTCTTTGCGGGTCTGCGTGGAAGGACGCCTTACCTAATAAAGTGCCTTTGCACCCATCGTTTCAAAGGGGTCCATCCAATCTGGAGGGGGGAGATTCTGGGTCTACTTTCTGCTGTTTCTTAGGTCTATGAGCACAGACAAGTCCGGGTCTCTGTGATTTTGTACCAAGAGGAGAGGACTGGAGTCCATGAGCCCCCAGTCTTGTGAGGAGTTTATGGGGGGGGGGGAAGCAGAGCATTTCCCCCCTATTATCAGTGAGGCCCCACGAATAAACAGCTGGGACAGTGTAGATAAATTACTTATTCCGGTTAATGAGAAAGAGAAGAATAAAAATTAAAGGACAGAAGAAAGATAAAGATAAGTCAAAATTATCTTTTTTTTTAAAAAGAATATCTTTTTCCTCAACTTTAGGTAAAAGTAAAACTTTCCCTCTATTCCTTACAAGCTTCTGATATTTTTTAAAATTCTGACTAAGTTCATTTTCACTTCCTTTCATTCACAGATTTCGTTAGAGGTCACAGTCCAGTGACCTTCAGGGTCACAGCCTGGCCAGGGTACACCCTCCCCAGCCTTATCTCTGTGCGCAGGGAAGCAGGACACGGCGCCCCTTTCCTGCTGTAGCTCATGTTCATTCTGAAGCCTGTCCTGACCCTTCCAGGATGCTGAGTCCCCTGTGCTCGCCTCCTCTGAGACCAAGCCCGCGGGGCCTGTGCCTGACGGTTTTTCAATCTGTTCCCAAACGGGAGAGTCTGGAACGTGTGGCCAACGAGTCCCTCCCCAGGCACGGAACGCTCAGACAAGGGTGCCGTGGGTCAGTGCTCAGAAACACATTTTTTCATTATGGATTAAAGAACATTAAAAAAAATTGGGTGAATAAATTACTCTAAGTTTCCCAAATAAATCTAAGTAACTTAGTTCATAATATTTTTAAGTATCATTGATACGAACTTAAGAGAATTACGAATAAAAGGGGAAAGCTGGACACTAAAAACTACAGAGCGAGTGCTTTGCTCGTGTTAGAACTGTTCCAACTTGAAAAGTCCCAGCATCTGCTGACTTCGGTTTTAGGCGGTGTGCGGGGCCCGGGCTGGCTCAGACCAGGGCAGCCGTTCCTGTTTTTGCTCTGGTGCCGTAGAGCTCCTTGCACCGTAACACAGAGGACCTCGTCATGGGCACACCTGCTGACCACGTGAAGCCCCCAGCTAGAGATTCACGACTCCCCTTACCAACGTCAAAGCTTTCAAAGCAGCCGAGAAATGCACATAACCAGTCTCCACCCTGAAGGTCACGTCCGCAAACTCACAAGCGTCATTTCACACAGAATTAGGAAAACACTGAAGATCCTGCAAATTCTCACACCGAAGGATACAGAACCAGAAAGGAAGTTCACTGGGTATTCTGATCCTGCTTTGGGTCTGATTTGTTTCTTCCAGTCAGCATGGCCTGATTCAGGCCGTCACTTCTTCCCCACACTCAGGGGGTCAGGACCGCTCCCCTGCCAGCGCGTGAGGCTCCGCCCCCTCGCGCCCCTCGCACTCACCTGTTATCATCTGCTGCGCATCGTAGGGTTCCATGTAGCCGTCATTCTCTCCTGCCCTCTCTGAGTCCCTCTGGCCTTTCGTCCTTTTGGCATCATAAGGGTCAGCGTAGTCTTCTAAAATGATGACCTTGAAGGAACCGGAGAGGGGAGCGGCAAGGGTTAGCACACCCAGACGGCCCCGGTGTCAGAATGGCTACGAATCATCTCAGACTCGAAGTCATGGTTCCCCCAGTTCTGGAGTGTTCGCTCGGGCTCACATTACTGTCCACGTTACCGGGGGACAAACTTCTGATCTGTCTTGGCGGCGTAACCGACTGGCAACAGTTCACCCACACTCTTGCCCATTCCCCAGCACTGCCCGGCAGTCCGTTCCGGGTGTGGGGGGCCCTGTGGCAGGACGGGTGGTGGGCGTGGAGGGTGGCGATCACTGCAGAGCGGAACGAAATCAACACTCCAACCCCTTCCCTGGGATGTTGATCTTTCTAAGGCCAACCTGGTGGGCGACACGGACCTAAGTCAGTCCGTCCCCCCGTGACACCGAGCGTCCACTGGCACTGCTGAGACACCGTGAGGGGGTCACCGGAAGACAAAGGCTGCCTCTGATCCTCCGGGGATCTGCAACCCCTTGGAGGGAAGGGCTTCAGAAGAAGTCTAAGGGATAGCCCCAGACAGGACTGGGGGGTTCTGGGATCCGGAACTCCCGGGCTAGAGTCAGAGTTCTGGCCGGTATCTGCGGGAGAAAGCATCAAGTCTTCAAGAAGAGAAAGGGGCCCGAGAGGTGGTGTGTGTGGTCGGTTCTACTCTGCAGCTGCTGGGTGACAACGGAGGCCCCGCAGCTGAGCCTGATAGGCTCTTCTTGGGGGCAACAGTTTTGTGGGAACTGTATGGGGACAGAAAGCACACACTTGCCGGATAGCAGTGTGCCCCCATAATATATACTCTTTACTCCAGCTGAAGAGGGAGACAGGGGTAAGAGCCAACGAGCAAAGAAAGGTGAACGACTCAAGGGAGGAAAGGCCCGGTCCGGCTCGGGTCTCCAGAGAGTTTCTGGAGAAGCAGAGAAGCATCAGCAGTGCCGGCAGGAAAAAAATGAACAGAGAGACACGGGGGGGCGGCAGCCTGCCCGGGAGGAGACAGCCTGAGGAAGGGCGGACCTCCACAAGTGATGCCCCAGCAGCCTCCGCAGAGTGCCCCCAGCTCTCACTGCCCCCCCGCCCCCCCCCAGGAGCCGCACTCCCAGGACAGACAGGAACGCCAGGCGCAGTACTCAGCCTGATCTGTGTAGACGGAGTCAGTCAGGGAGACCACTGGCTAGTATTTGGGTGAGCTGGGTCATTGCTCGTCCCCCCCCCGCACCCCGGCCGGGGGCCAGCATGGCACAGGTGTGCTGTCAGTACGGGTGTGAAGGACAAGGGGGGACGAGCAGAAGGGCCCAGTGCAGACACACATGGCGGGTGCTGCGGGGTCCCCATGGCACGCAGGGAGACGTGTGTGGGGGCCTGAGCAAGAGGAAGTTGGAATTCCCACGACAGGCAGGGACGGCCTGGGCCGGGGCCTGGAAGCTCCGTCTGAGCCCTTCTCTCCCCTTTTTCACCCAGAAGAGTGAGTTTAAAGAACAAGCACTCAGGGACGCCTGGGGCCTCGGTCACTGAGCGTCTGCTTTCAGGTCAGGTCACGGTCCCAGGACCCTGTATCAGGCTCCCGGCTTTTCCCTGCCTCCTGCCCCCCCCCCCCGATTCGTGACATCTCCCCCTCTCTCAAATGAGTAAATAAAATCTTAGAATAAAGAAACCAAGCAAACAAAACCCAGCTCATCTCTCTAAGGATGGAGTGGGTCTCCTCCCAGAGTCACGCTCCTTTTCTCAAGTGCCTCGCACTGGACGGTGCCCAGAAAACCTCTGAGGCGTAAGAGGCAGGGATCACCTTCTCTCCTGCTCTGTGATTTCCTTCAGGGCACTTCCGTGTCCCATTCTGTACCCACTGCAGCCCATGGAGCCCGGCACGGCTGCTGCTCGTGCTCCTCGTGCTGCTGCCCAGCAGACGTTCACGGATGGGATGTGAGCTGCTGGTACCTTGGCGAGGGGGCACTGGCTGGGGCAACCATGCCTGGACTCCCACGCTAGCAGGGGAGGGGCCGGGTGTGTGCCCTCCACCTAGTCCCCAGGGCTCTGAAATCCATGCTTCCCTTCTGCTCAAAAAGCATAAACGTATAGATAGATCTGGCTTTGCAATCCCCCTGGATTTCAAATTAAAATAAACCGCATTCATAAGGAGGTCAAGTTTCACAAAGCAGGAACGTCTCACTCACTCTTCTAAAGGGCTAACAAAATTAAATGCATGGTACATTTCTGAAAAGTCCCCCACACTCAGAGTAAAGATTTTCCAAGATGAAAACAACAACAACAACAAACAACATCAAATGTAACCACGTGAAATGGTCCCTTAATTGTTGCCAGATGTCGGAGGGAGGCCCACCCTCACCTTCCCCGCCGCACAGAGAAGCCCAGGGCTGAGCAGGTGCGCCCTGCTCGCTCCTGGCCGGCCCCCTCAGACAGGAGGCCCCAGCCGGCTGCATGCTCACCGTGTCCGGCTGCTTCCCGGTCTTGCCCTTGTCCACTTCGGGGCCCAGCGAGGCGGGGGAGGAGGACGCGGAGGAAGAGCTGCTGCTGGTGCTGCTGGTGCTGCTGCCCTTGCCGTTCTTCTCCTGAGTGTCCACCTTAATGAGCCTGCTGATGTAGGTGCCGCAGCCCGCGCTCCTGGCCGCGCCCCGGGGCGGCTCGTCCTCCGTGGCCCGCGAGTTCTTGCGGCCCTTGCCCGCCGCGGCCTGGATCAGGCCCTGCAGGCTGTCCCGGGGCGGCCGGCTGTCCCTGGGGGCGCCGACGCCGGCCCTGCCGCTCCCCAGCTCGGCCGTCGAGTTCTTGCGGCCCTTGCCCGGGGCCGGCCCGGCGCCGCCCGCCTCCGAGTTCTTGCGCAGTCGGCCGCCGCAGCCACCGGGCCGGGCGCGCTCGGACGCCGTCTTCAGGTTCAGCGGGAACTCCTTGAACCACCGGGCCGCCATGGGGGGTGCCCGCGGGGCAGGCGGGCGAGGGGCGCGGCGCACACGCGGAGGGGCGCCAGGGGCCGCGGCCGCCTCATTCCCCGGGGCTGCTCCGCGTCCCCGGCCGGCCCGCGCGCAGCTCGGCGGGGTGGGGCCCGGGGCCGGGCTCTGCGGGGCGGCGGGCGCGGGGCGTCCCTGCTCTCCCCACCGAAGCGGGACAGCCTTGCCCACCCTCGCCGGGGAGACACGGGACGGCGCCGCGACGGACCGGGGACCGACGGCGGGCCGCCCACCCTCGGCGCGCCCCTCCCTCGGCGGCTGGCGCCTCCCGCCCAGATCCGCCGGGGTCAGCGCCTCCGCCCGGGGCGCGGGGGGGCGGGGTGGGGGGCGGAGACCAGCGGCAGCCGCACGGGCCGGCCCGGGGCCCCCGCGGTCGCGCGGCCCCCCGCGCCCTCGCCGAGCGGCCCCCAGCTTCGCCACGAGCCCGGCGCGCCGCGTCCTCTCCGCGCGCTCGCGGCGGACGGCCGGCCCGGGGGTGCGGGCTACGGAGAGGGGCTCTTCCCCGCGCGGGTGCCGACCCCCCTCCCTTCTGGCGCCCCCCGCCCCCGCAGGCCGCCAGGAGGCGGAGCGCGCAGCCCGGGCGAGGGGCTCGGCGAGGCTGCGGCAGGTGGATGCGCGCGGCCCGGGCAGGTACTGCGCGGCGGTTCCAGGCCGCAGGCTGCGGGCCAGGGCGGAGGGACCAGGGCGCTGGGAGGCCGCTGGGGAAGCCGCACCCCCATTTCCACCCCGGGGCGGCGGGGCGCGCGGTTACCCCCGGGGCAGCCGCTTGCTCTAGGTCTGGTGCGTCTGCGAAAGTCGGGGTGGGGACGGTGGGTGGGAGCGGACCCCAGAGACCGCCCTCTGGGGAGCTGGGGGCACTTTACCTTGAAGATGCCTCTGCAACCGCCCCCCCCGCCGTGGCGAAGCCGTTACAGATTTTTTTAGCTTAAAAAATCTAAACGCTCTGAGGGGCTTGACGCGCTCCGTCCGAGCTGCGGGCGCTGGTGATCCCGCCAGCCGTGCCCTGTGACAGGCGGCGGCGGAAGGAACGCCTGCTTACAGCCGTTCTTGGAAACAATCTTGACTTTTTTTTTTTTTAAAGTTTTACTGAGATATAATTGATGCACTCACCTGCTCTGAGCGTAGAGCTCGGAGGTATTTAGTATATGACGGTTCAGCCGGCACATTCTAATTTTGGAACATGTCCACCACCCCAGAAGGAAACCTTGTGCTCATTAACAATCATCCCCGTCGCCCGCAGCCACTAATCTACTTTCTGTCTCTACAACTTTGTCTGTTCTGGACTCTTCGTGTAATGGGAACCACAGAGTCCGTGGCCTTTTGTGTCTGGCTTCTTTTCCTTAGCATCATGGATTTTGTTTGTTTTTAAGATTTTATTCATTTGAGAGACACAGAGAGAGAGAATGACAGCACAGAGCGGAGGGGAGAGGCAGAGGGAGAGGGAGAAGCAGACTCTCCGCTGAGCAGGGAGCCAGACTCGGGCTCAGGACCTCGGGACCAGGATCTGAGCCCAAGGCAGACGCTTAACCCCCTGAGCCCCCGCAGGCGCCCCAGAGGGAGGCAGTCAAGCAGACTGGGCACGGAGCTGGGCTCCGCACCAGGGCTCCCAGGACCCTGAGATCATGACCTGAGTCCAGACCAACCAAGAGTTGGCTGCTCAACTGACTATGCCACCCGGGCACCCCGTTTACCCACTTTTTAAATAGTTCATTGTCTTCTTTTTATTGCGTTGCATAAGTCCTTTTAAATTCTTTGTCTTTCTGGAAACACAAATAGGGTACTGCTCCCGACCAAGCAATGGAACGGAAGCTCATAACTTTGAGGGTCTAAGACCTAGATTCAAACACAGGCTTCTCCGAGTCTGAGCAGAGATGGCCTGATCTTGGGCCAGTTGCCAGGCCATCATCTCCAAGCTCCAAGGCCTCACCGGCCCTGGGAGCAGTGTCGCTTAGCTCTGAGTTTCCATGAGGATTGTATGAGACCACTAGGGTTCACAGCTTAGAGAAGCCCCTACAGACCTTTAAAGGCCTCTCTGAAAGATTTAGGGCACCTTTGCTTGGGAGGGGTGGATGCCAGCCCTCTTCCGGCCCACAGGCTCGTCCGGGGATGACTCGGAAGCTGGTCCTCACACCACAGCCCCGGTTCTGCCATGAAACTCTCTGTCCACCTGTACCTGCATCTCCGGCTCGCCTTAAGGACCCGGGGCTCCGTTTCCATGCAGTTGCCGCCATGCCTGCACTTTCCCCCACCGCTGGGAGCGATTTACAGGAATTACCGTTTTCTTTCAAAATTTAATGGTTTAATTCATGTTTCTCCAAATTTAAAAAAAAAAAAAACCTTAAAAATGACTTTGACAGCCTTGTTCTCTGTAGGAAAAGGACCTAGTCTTTACAGTCACAGACCCTGTTACCTCAGGCTCTTATAATCATGAGCAAATCGTGTGCTGTCCTTGAGGTTTGCCTTTTCTAGCTGTCAGATGGGGAAACTGTCCGCCCCGAGGCCACAGGAATGTGCCCATGAAGTCCGCAGACGCACAGCGACTGCTCTGAATTGCGGCAGGTGCTTCCCGCACTGTCTCTCAGCTCTGGGGTGGGGGCTGGGCCCTGAGCTGCATCTGAGCCCGGGTCTGCGGTTCCGCGGGCTGCCTGGCCGCCATGCCCAGCGGACTGTGGTTTCAGAGCTGCTCTCGGGTTTCCACTTGCTGCCGTAGCAAATAACCTCTTTTTTAGTAGTTTCAACAGCACAAGTGACACGTCTGTTGTTCTGAACTCTGACACGGGTCTTGGGTCTCAGGGGAAATCGATGGTTGAGCGGCCTTGCCTTTCCAGCTCCCAGAGGGGCAGGACCACACCCTTGTCAGCCACGCCTCGTCACTCTCCAGCCCCAGTGACCGCGCTAGGCCCACCCGATCAGATCAGCTGGTGACTCGGTTCCTGCTTGTCATTTGACCAAACACATCTGTGCTGTGATATTGTGGCTTATAGTAAGAAACATATATTTGGTCTTCATCCTCCTGTGGGCACAGAGCTCCTAAAATCTATGGAATTTCCTGTGATAAGAGCCCCAAAGCTGTCTTTTGTTATGCTAATGAGGCGGCATTGAAGGCCAGTAGGTCCCCTAAGGATGGAGGCTGGTGGCCTGGGGGCCCCAGCCCTGTGATTGGAGTCCCCCCACCTCCAGGGAGGGGAGAGGGGCTGGAGGTCAAACACCTCACCAGTGGCCGATGACTTTATCAGTCATGCCTGTGTAAGGAACCCTCCGTAAAAAGCCCAGAAGATGGGGCTCTGAGAGCTTCCTGTTGGTGAGCGCATGGGGAATTGGGGGGACCGGGGCGCCCTGAGGGCCGGATGCTCTCTGCTCCTTCCCACACGTACCTGCCCTCTGCGTCTCTCCCACCTGCTCCTCCTGAGCTCTGTCCTTTCCCAATAAACCAGCATCCTAGTAAGGAAAATGCTTCTCTGCCATCCGAGAGTCGCTGTAGCCAATGACCTGCACCCACGGAGGGGGTGGTGGGACCCTCCAGTCTGCACCCGGTCAGCCAGAGGCACAGGGGACAAGCTGGGCTTGCAGCTGGTGTCTGAAGGTGGGGAGGCGGTCCTGTGGGACTGAACGCGTCATCTGTGGGATCTGACGCTGTCTCCGGGGAGGTGGTGCAGGAATGGAGCAGAAGAGTAGGCCACCAAGCTGGGGGTCTGGAGAATTGCTCAGTGGTGCGAGCTCGCTTCTCCCCAGACTGGAGTTGTTGACTGGACGCCTTACTATCTCCCAAAGGTTAGGACATGGGCCATTTTGTAGGGAGGCTCTTCTGCCAGCCCCAGGACCCGTGCAGTAGTGATGAGACGGTGAATTGCCCTGGCCTGTCCCACTGGCTTTGGGGGAGAGCCTGCTGGAAGAAGCCACAGCACCCGCGGTGCCTCCTTTGTTGATAAGCAATCCTTTTTCCACCCCACACCGTGGCTTTCCCACGCCTGGCTCACTGTGCTGGAGCTCCGGGGTCACCCAGCCTTTCCCTAAATGTGCTGTAACCCTCGGCGACAGAATGTCCACTGGGGGCTTCCTGGCTTGGAAACTGCTCTGGCAGGAGGAGGGGCGTAGAGGCTCTTGGAGGGTCTGGTCTCGGGGTATGGAAGCCTTGGTCCACATCCTGGGACTGGGACTCTGTCTGTTCGGGCCTGAAACGTGGGATCTTCAGCTTCTGCCCCCATCGGCAGCTGATTTCGTGGCACCGGGCCCCCGCCGCGGCCCCAGAGCAGACCCCTGGCACCTGCTCCTGGCTCCGTGCTTCTCCCCCGTTCTTCCCTCCTGCCTTCCCTGCCGCCCTCCGGGGTCTCTGGAGCGGTCGTTCTCAAGTCCAGCAGGCTGGTGTGGCCTCCCAGGTTGGAACCCTTGAGCACAGGCAGAGCAGGCCGTGAGCGCGATGGGACAGCCTGGGACTTCCTGGCTCGCCCCCGCCTGCTGTCTTGCATCCTCTCTCAACGCGGCCTGCGGCCCACGTGCGTGCGACACGCAGCTTCCCCAACTGGCCTTCGCAGGCGCCTCTGCCTGGGTCTTCAGCCTCCCTCCCGCACCGCGCCCTTCCTTCCCTCCTCCTCACGTTAGCTCCGAAACACACTGCGGTCCTGAAACCCGTCCTAATGATGCAGGAAAGACGTTAGAGCTTGAAGCCGATGGCCAGGAAAGAATCCTTGAAACATCTTTGTTGCAAAAAGGTGGTTTTATTGAAGCAGGGGGACAGGGAGATCAGCACCGGGGTCGCGCGGAGGGACCCATTATGTACTTTCAAGTTGGGAGGGGCTTAGGGAGAAGGTAAGTCTGTAACGGATTTGGAAGCAAGGTTTCCAGGGCCTTGAGGGGTTAGCTGCTGCTGGGAGAAGCCATTTAGTACCATCTAATAAAACCTGAGTCACGAGACCCCTCAGATGTCCATCGTGGGCATTTGCTTGGGGGATGATTGCCAAACAGATCTTGGGGGGTTTAGAGATGAAGGAAGTTTCCAAAGGAAATTTTACATGTTAAAGTAGACTTACCGGATCCTGGGGGTGGGGGGTCCGGGTGAGGCTAGGTTAGCCTTTTGCCCTCAGCGAAGTGTTAGCATCGGGGCCGTTGAGTCCGTAGGGGAAGGTCCCTCTGCCTGTTTCAAGAACTTGTCAATGGGCT